TAAACGGATGCGACAGTCCAGCGGACAAGCACCTGGGAGGCGTTCTGGCGCATCTGGCACGCCTCCATGAACCGATTCATGCTCCGATACCTTTACGCCGCTTCTCATTGCTTTTGGGCCTTCACGGTGCATCTAAAGCCTGTGTCACTGGACCTGGATCTAACTCTAGGACAGATTCGGGGAAGTTCACACTCCGTGCGCCCGAGTCGAGCTCAAGTGGTTTCTCATGCAGCTCCGGTGAAGGAGCCGCCCTCCCTGAAACTGGAAACACAGCTCCTGCAGCTCTTGAGGCTTAAGACCCTGCCCGGATAGGTTGAAAGCTTATATCCTTCTTACGGGAGACAGAGTTGCAGGTCGGATTTTCTGACTGACGTTCATCGTGCCTGTTAGGCCTCGCTGATAATGCCAGGTTCCTGTTGGCGGGAAGAAACGCAGTTGGCTGGCCGTGCCCATGGTCTTCGGCTTTGTGGCGTACTGGCAGCTTGGTACCGGAGCTTTCCACCCGCACCGCCTTGTCCATAACACTTAGAGTTTCGAGCTTGGAACCACAGGGCTCATGGGAAAGGAGAAACAGCTTTGCGGGAGCTAGTGTTAGCCGGTTGCCCCAACTGCAGCTGTCGGAGGCCTCCAACTGAAAAGGAGTTCGATGTTGGCAAAGCCTGGCTTTCCAGGCACGAGAGCACGGGGTTCCTGACTCGGCCGGCCTGGTATGCCTGGGGCCGCTTGACTTGTCCCTTGGACCTAGGATCTCATCTCGTGTGCATAGGACACCACTCCCAGGATTTCTGAATGCCTTCGGCGTAACTGCGGAGAAAGCCTTGGCCACCACCGTGGGAAGGCAGTTGGCCAAGGGCGAGGTGCGACCGTGCGACCTACCGGCTGCAGACTTCAGACTTCAGGTCTAACTGTCTAACTTATGCTGAAATCGAAGTTGTTTCGAGGTCGGTCGTCGCGCTGAAAGGTGCTGCTTAGGAAGACGCTGCATGCCTTGGCCGACATGCAATCCATGTCGAGTTCGTCGTTTCCTGGCAAATGTCTTCAAGTGAAACAGTGGGTCCAAATCGCATCAGTAAAACAAAAATTATTAATCTGTCACAGCATTCGGGCTCACCTCGTGAGCTTCGGAAATACCCTTTCTCACCCTGAAGGCAGATGGGAATTGGTTCGCTTGCATACTGGTCTTTCTGGGAAAGGGCGTAGGCCCGATTTTCCTGCACCTTGTCTGGCAGAGTGGTGACTGGCTTTCGTTGACTCTTCGGCGCCGTCCCGAGTGTGACAAGCACTCAATACTTGGAGCCTTCCCGTAAACAGTCAACTTACTAAACCGCTTGGAGCACAGGACGGTTCTTTGGCTATGCGTACAAGTTTTAGACTGCAGCAGCCGAGTCGGGCGTGCAAGTGTCGCAACAGTGGAATGTATCCCTGACGGATGCCACGCCCCATGCAAGCACATCAAAGTGTCAGAGCTCCTGCATTGTGTGCAAAAGACACACAGGTCAAACTCTGAGGCATCTAGGCTTGCTGGTGTTGAGCTCTCGAAGGCCCTCGGGTTGGGATTTGCATGTCCAGCATGCCAGTGCGCACGGGGCAGTGAAGGATTCTGGTGAACGTCCCGGCCATCTTTTACGAGAACTCCTGGAAATTTTACGTGAGCTTCTTCAACCGAGGGTGGGAGACAGCCTCCAAGCCGCATGTGGAAAGAACAGCCCAGCTGCGGTTTTCGAAGGAGCTTACACGACGTGAATGCAAGAACAGATGCGCGAAGGGGTGGATGGAGGGGATTCATGGATGGATCGGTGGCTGTACGCATGGCGTGGTCTTGAGTCTATGCTGGATGCATCGATGCATTAATTCATGCATGCTTGTCCTTGGATACATGTCTCGAGGTGTGTAGGCATCTATACATAGCTGATCATAGCTGTATGTTTTTCCTCATGCGCCAGCGTTTCAAAGGGCTTTGCTGCATAGCTGCGGTGCTTTGCGTTTTGCACTGGCTTGGACCTGCAGGCGTTGCGGCTGCTGTCGCCGTTGTTGGTTGTTGGTCGCTGCTGATCGAGTTTGTTGAAGCCCAACCTTGTATGACTGCAACGCTTGACGAGTTGCGTCGCAAAAAGCCGGTCGCCCTCTTCACCGATTTACAAATTGGCGGTCTCGGTTGGTTTTGCCTGCTAACAACTCACATGAGCCAACGCGATAGGCGCACCACTCAGAATACCGTTGCCAGCCAATGACACAAACAAGCGTCGTGTCTTCAATAGATTTATTTAAGTTAGATAGATAGATTGATTGATAGATGAGAAGCACATACGGCATGGATATGATGTGTGTCTTTATATGCACAGCTTCGCTTGGTGTTCTTGGTATGTCTTTCCATGTGTCTGTGCATGTACAGACGGGTACACACATATGTGCATATATCCACATGGAATGTATGCATGTGCATGCATGCATACATACATATGTATGCAAAATTTGCACACGCGACATGCGCATCTAGGTATCAGCATTAGGTATTCTAGATCGTAGCATGCGTAAACAGTTACACATGTGTCGGCGAGGGAGAAGTGAAGCTGTAAACACCGTAAACCTTGGCCAAAGCAAGGCCGTTCTGTTGTGGACACTAGTCCTCACCTTCAGCTGCACGGCAGTGCTGGTGGATGCCTTCCGGGAAGAGGACACCGAGCCGTGTTTAGCCATTCTTCGCGACTGGCTGATGGCAAACTCAACTGCAGAGCTTCTTGAGGATCATGCATATGTAGCTTCAGAGCGCAGGAGACTTCGCCCCGGCGTGCTCCACTCACATCTGCACGGAGCGTTCCTGACGAGCTCGCCGAGCTCGCGCCTAGTCAGCAGAAAGCTGCAACTGCATTCCCCGAAGCACTTCCAAATTCTGATCGCTTGGGCCGCTTTGGGCTTGTGTGGTGATGCCGGAACAGTGGGTTCCCCACGGAGCTTGCAGCTCTGGAGGATTGCATCTCTGGCGTCGCGAGGTTCTGTCAGGGGCAAACGCGTCAGTGCGTTGTTCGGTCTTTGGCCGGAGCGCGGCTAAGAGTTGTAAACAACCACAAGCCAGAAAGGTCATGGTTTTCAGAGCCCACATGCACCCCCCCCCTCCACCCCCGTCAAAAACAAGGACTGCTGTCCGGCGCTCTGAACCTGAATATCTCCGGGCAGAACAACTAGCTAGTGACTATAGTGAGATCGAATGCTGTAGCAACTGGCAGAAGCGGGCCGGAACTTGTTCACAGGGACATCAAGAGTTCATGGCTCCACGACGCTTCAATCTTGTGCCTTGGAGTCCCTGCGCTGCGCCCAGAGGCCACAGCCTCAGATAGTGAGAGTCACAACCATTGCGTCGGCAAGGAGCTTCAGAGCTCTGAGTCCTGGCATGGACGATGACCGCGGTCGAGCAGAATATGGGCGACTGTTGCTTTGTATGGAACTTCTCCAAGCTAGCAGGGATAGTTGTTGGTGTCGGATGTGAGCTTGAGTTCAAAAGAATCAGGAACGTTGGAGAATTTGCATGCTCTACAGGTCGCTGGACAGTTTCAGATTCGAAATCTGCTTCCCCGCTGCCGGTCAAAGAACTGGCGTTGCGCTGCACCCGGGGTTTTGCTTCTCTGGAACACTTCGTTGAAGTTGACGTCCCCGAGACCACGAATGCAGATCCTGCAGGCACTTGTAAGTTGACAGAGACAAAGAGAATAGGGCAGGAGGGAAAGACAGAGAGAGAGTCGGAGGGATAAATAAACTGCCAAGAGATGTACATCTACTTTTGTTTAGGATAGGTAAACAGGTAGATGTGTTCTGATCATGTACGTGACGACAGCGTGCAATTTACAGAGACGGAATTCGCTCCTTTGCTCACAACTGTTTCGTTGCGCCAGTGAAGCAAGCCTTGAGACTGCACTGCTTACTGGCATTTGAAGGGATCTTCCCGGGGCTCTGGCAAGTTGGGATAAGGATCCCCAAGACCGAGCTTCAGCTTTGGAGTGAAATGGCTTTCCTGTGCACAAAGGCGCATCTCACCAAGCCATGTGCGGCTGATGACCTGTGAGCAAGAGGACATCATGCCCAAAGCAGGCTGATGGCACCCGGTGTGAGGTATTGCTTACCGACGTACCGACCTGAAGCCCCGGAGCTGAAACAACAAACCGCCACACAGGTTGGAGATGTCAGCTCTTTACCAAGGTTTCTCACACCATGATCGGCCAGCTCACTTCAACTTATTCTGAGTCCAAACTCGGCCCAGTTGCAAAGATCTGTAAAGCTGAAGGCAACAGATACCTCACACTGCCTCCTCCACTACATCAGTTATGGAGAAAATGCGGGATCGACCGTTTTAGAGTTGGCAGTGTTTGACTTACTTACGACGCTTCGCGTAGTCCGCCTCGGCCCGGCTGTACTTGAAGCAGGTGCAGCAACAGTTCAACAGGTAGGTCACACAGGTGAGGTCTTGCGTGAATGAGTGCATTTGCTTCAATGTGTGTTTGGTGCATTATTGTATAGAAGTTACTATAAATATGGTACTACACTTCTCACTACAACCTCCCATATGTTGGAAGGGGACTGGGGAATCAAGCTTTGCAACCATCTGCCAATGTGCCTTGTGAGAGCCGGTGAAGGTTGCAACAAAGTAATTACAAGACGCGACCCCAGAATTGCCAGGCTTGGGCATCAACTTCACGAATGACGTAAGCTAGCCTGTCTTGCCTCGCCGCAAGGAAGAGGCGATGGAAGGGGGAAAAAGGAGTACTGAGTGGGGGGGTGTTGGGGCAGGGGCAGCTGAGGTGGGGGGCGGGTGCAACAGCGAAAAACGCCCGAAGGGCTCCCGTGTTCCCCTCGCAGATTGAGGATGTTGAGTTCATGCTATTGGTTGTAGCTTCGATTCCTGTTCATAGACATCTGCCAACCTCACCCGCTTGTTGCGGCCTTCTGGGCCAGCAGCACTTGCAGCAGCCAGGTCCGCACATGCTTCTTGCCACTTACGAATCCACGGCATGCTGCCTTTGGGATTTGCCAGGCGCCCAGCTTGCTGACGATTGCAAGATTCTGTAAATCATAAGACTGGGCAAACGCAACTTGGGCCCAACAACAGAATCCGTTCTGGAATCTCAGAGTTCGTCGCGTGACACGAGTTGCCTGGTCGGAGGGCGGTGCATTTTGGAAGCCCTTTTGCATAGGCATTGGTTTCCAGTGTTGAAAGCCGCTTCCAGCCGCTTCTTGATGGCATGCAGGTAGAGGCTGTTTGTGTGATGTGTATCGCACCAACAGAACCTCGGGCCGTTGCTAAGACGACATTCCGGAAGCGAGGCGGGGTTGAAGGATACTTTGTACTCCTCGTCCCCAGCATGCCCATCGGCCCCGAGGCGCTCGCCGCGCAAGCCGCTGTTCTCCTGCTATGCCGGAGATCCTCAGAGCCGGAATCCTGAGTGCGTCGTCTGAAGTGAAGAATTTTCTCCTCGAACTGTTGTCTTTAATGCATGTGTGCATGATTCTCTGGCAAGGATTGGCAGGAGACGGTGCAATGCAACCGAACATGATAACGTTGTGACGTGGCTGCTTCCAGAGATGACCCAGTGGGGAGCCGTCGCTGGCGAGAGGCGCCTTCAAATTTCGGCAACACTGGCTCTGTCTCGCGTGGAAGTATGTCCCCGTCTCATGGATATAACTTTCTATCGGTCCGGCGCAACGGAATCGGCACGGCGACTCTCTTTTGCCGGACTGGACTAATCGAAGGCAAATCTGGTCCCCTTGCGACAAGACCCCGGCCAATCATGTGCTGGAAATCCGTAAGGTACTCCATGCTGCCAGTTCGATTCCTTTCATGTTGCTGGGTTTCGTTTGAGCTGACCAGCGTCGCCCAATCCCCAGCCTGATGCCGCACCAGGATATCCGGGCTGTCATGTCCAAGCCTTGCAACATGCTACCTGCAGTCAAAAAGTGCACAGTGCTTCCGAGGTCCAGCCATCTGCTCGGCAGTCTTGTGGCGGAAGGAGGGCCCTGCGTCTGAGAATCCACGGATTTTTGCTCAGCGGCCTCATGGCCTCACGTAAGCACCGCGGCGGCCAGGCCTGGGTCGCCTGCGCTGGCGGACGCATCAGCCAAATACGACTTCGTGCAGATGGTCCGGCGGCTAGCATTGCAGCATGCTTGGATTCGGACGTTGGGGCTGGATTAAACGGATATGATCTCTGTCGTGGCTGTTAAAGACTATAGGTTTGCAACGAGTTTGGGTGGGGGACTGGCAGTCGTCACTGGATTTGGATCGTGGATCTTTGGACATCTCAGCCTGTTAGCTTGCGTTTCTGGATGATTCATGCCTCGGAATGTTGGGGTCTCTCATTCCTGCACCCCGGACAAAGAAAAGACAAGCAACAGTTGATGTGCTCGTAGAAAGGGATTCTGGAGTGGATGGCCAGTCAACTAAGAGGAATGAATCCATCAACTGCCGCCGATGAGCATTTGTGGCTCCAAGCTTCAGGCCCGAGGGTGACCGTTCACAAGCTCTGATAATAGCGCCTTTAGACGGTGCAAGACTTCAACAAAACACCTGGTGCATCAAGGCCATAGTTCCTCACAGGAAGGTCATGGAGTCATTTCGATCTGCAGTTCCACTCCGGATGCCACCTGCACCGGGCGGACATCATGCACCGCTGGCATCGAGCAGTGATTCTCTGCATCCTGGGCACATCCACTGCCGACGATGACAGCTGGTGCACAGATGTTGAATGCGTGCAGGATTCGGGATGGCAGCTGCTCTTCTAGGTCCAGGAGCTTGCTACAGTTTTCTTGTTGTGGACATTCTGCCCAGCAAGCGACATCTTGCTGCCACCTCAGGTTTGTGTCTGCGTGCCGAAAGCAACTGGTTCGAAACGTTCATTACTGGAGGTGCCTGTGACTGAGACTGGATTGGGCCGGGCTCTGGGCTAAAGATCAAAGATTTGGACCTCAGGTTGCCGTGACAAAAGCCCGCGTTTGGCATGGATCTGATCATAATGGAATGTCATCTCCAGGATTTGGATACTGGCTCTTGGGTTCTGTGGTTCGGGCAGCAAGGGGTGGCAGGGACGTAGGAATGAGGTGAGTTACATTTGACTGTCGCAGGCTTCCACACTAACAGCGTGCACTTGCACAAGGTCGCCACACTACAACAATGCAAAGCAGTCCAAGAGAGTTCAAAAGTATCAGACGTACTTGTAGGATGACAAGAAGCACCCCTTGGAAGCCTTGAGATTTGCACATACTGAGGCGGGCATGAGGGCATGTGCACTGCAGCCCTTCCTCAAAGAAGAACAGGGCGACGGAGATAGAAAGGCAGCTTTAAGTCCAGATAACGAGACACTAGACAGTAAAAATGCGGTTGCGCCTGTGCGAAGGAAGCTGTCCAAACCAAGCGCAACCGAGCGCAACCCTAGACAGGAGCTGTTTCGGCAAGGCTTTCTGCCGAATTCGTTGCGAATGCGTCAGATTCCCACCAAAGAACCAGAAAAAGCGAACGCTCTCCGGGTGTTGCACGGGGTCCAGACTGTCCCGAATCAGGTCCCGAAACACATCATTAGCAGTATCAGCGACACCAGCGTCGTTACTGTTCACATCAGCTCTGGTCGATTGATTGGCAGTGGGCCTGCAGCCATGCTCAGTCAGCCTCTACGAATCTCTACGAACGACACCCGAACCCACAGTGCCAGCAGAGCCTGAAGCATGTTCAGAGTTGGGCCAAGCAGAGAAGCAGACTGCTACTCAGGTACACACACGAAAGCTTGGCACTGCCAGCTTTGGCTGCCATTGGACCAGAAGTAAAGGACTCGTTACCATGCAAACAGTGGATTGTCTTTTGATGTCTGCTCGGAGACCCGCAGCGACCAGCAAATGAATTTCATTTTTGGTGAGTTTGGAGCAGTCCGTCAGAGCTGGCATGGCTCAGTGCTGGGTTGCATGTTTTGCATCATGCTTGGTGTAGGACGTCTTGGTCTTTGGCGGCGCAGATGGAGGTGGCTCACCCTTCCAGCTGTGTGCAAACCTTCACCGTTCTTTCACTTTATGTGTGTTTGGATTCCGTTGCTGTGAACACTTTGGATAGTTTGTTAGAAGCACGCGTGGTTCCGGCAGTTAGAGCCATCGTCAGCATTCAAACTGGGCATCCAGCCTTTGCACTCAGGCGTGGTCAACCTATTCTTGCAAAGCCGTGATGTGCAGTCGGTGACCTGGGTGAGCCACCTCACCCAGGCAGGGAGCTTCTGCAATGATCTGTACCGGTCTTTGAGCACTAGGCAGCTATGCCGCAATGTGTGTGGCGTCCATCTCGGTCATGCGCACTGATGTTTGGGTTGTGGGTTTGGGGTGAGGCTTAGTGGGTACAGGGCGACCCTTGTGTCAATTCTACGCTGCATTTGTGTGTGCGTGTGTGTGCACAGAGTTTGATCTCTGGGCTGCCGAAGCATAAACCGCATGTTTGTTGGCAAAGGGTCTCGAGATGCAACAGCGGCGTCTCAGAGAAACTGGTTTCAGTCAACGCCGAATCCCTGAACCCATTTCTCAAGTTCTGCTGCGAACCCGAACCGAGATCAGAGAATCAACTCGTGGGACGCAGAAGGTGACTGAAGTTGCAAGACGGTGCATGCCCTCACTCGTGAAGCTTCTTGGCATCGTTTGATGTCATTTTCTGCTGGCGCATGCTACAGTGCTACAGGTTCAGGTGCATGCAACCCCTGGCTACCTGCCAATATGACCTCAAGCCACAGACATCACACGCTGCGTCCGAGCCGGCAGGAGCAGTAGCCATCTCGCGAGTTGAGGTGTAGATAAAGATAGGATGTCCAGTCGCTGCCTACCGTAGGCCACGCCCTAGTCCTTGGCTTTCCACTGGCAGAGTTGTTGTCGGTGTCGCAGGCGCTCAAGCCGAAGATAAGGGCATGTCGGAAGAGCGAGGCTGTCTGGACAGCCTGGCTCGTCTCGGCAGTGACGCTGGAGCTGCATCCGAAGCCCACCTAGCTCTGACCCCGCGCCCGAGGCTTAGTGATGAGCGCCTGCACCGGCTGACCATGAACAGCGATTCCGGGTTGATGCAGGCTCGCGATGAAGTGTATGATTTGTGGACATCTTCTGGGAACAACCATTCTAAGTTGCGATGTGTGACGTCACGGGGCTTTCCCCGCCCCTTCGAAGCCCGGAGAGCGGTACATGCCACCCGCTTGTGTTTGTGCGGGGAGGTTGCCTCCGGGAAGACCAAGCAATTCGACATCATCGTCTATGATGCTTCATCCTTGCAGGCACGTTCGTGGTGCAAGGCTGCAGAGAGAGACTCCTCCATCCCAAGCAAAAAATGCTTTTTCCGCTTGGGAGCAAGGTGACAGTCTCGCCCCAAGTGTTTCTGGCTTGCAGGTGGAGGAGAAGCCGTTGAAGAAGATGTATTTCCAGCCAGCGGAGATCCAGAAGCTTCGTCACTCGACTCGAGACACGATGGCGTGTGTTGGAAAACTCAGCGATACTGGTTCTATCCAATATGCCGATGCAGACTTTTGTTGTCGGGCTTTTGCATGCACAGGATCTGATTGGCAGTTGCTTCTTGTAAGTGTCCTCGCTTTTCCCGATCTAATGCCTCGACATGGGACCCGTCAATGCAAATGCACTCATGTCGGTATGCCATGGTCATCGGGCGAACTGGCATGATGGAAGCGGAAGCTATGCCGTGCCGTGTCGTCGCACTTTTTCCGCTCTTTTTTCGGCCAGCAGAGCATGCAGAACACGTCGAAGCTCAGGAATCCACAAAGCCGATCTCACGCAGTCGGCGAGCTGGTGCTGCAGAACATTAAAAACGGCCACACACCTCGCGCTCGCAACGGTGCCCAGCACAGCACAGTCTAACAAACACGGCTGCCAGCCAACTGGAGTCGTGGGCGACAAGTGTAACGTTGTCACCGCGGAATGTTAAAGAAAGTCAGCCGGGCTCCATCGATGAGACACAGGAAACATCCTACAACCAAGTGGTCCATCATACGTTAAGAGAAGCGAAGATTACTGTCTGATTTCGGAGCGAGTAATCTTCAAGCCCCGTCTCTTCCAGGTGAGCTCCTCTCTTCAAGTGGTTTGCTCGTCGCATCTGCCGGCATTCTGCGAAAGCCTCGCAGTCTCCAGGACGTGGCCCGATAGTCCGATAGTTCGAGGTCTGGATTTGATACCTTCCTCCTAGCAGTCCTAGCAGCAAAAGAGCGGTAAGAAGTTTGAGGCAAGCCAATGCAAGATCCCTTCGACGACAGGCGGTGAGTCAATTCTACTCTTCTCGTGACTCCGAACTCCGGGCGCGCAGAGCAAACTGAACCACGAACGAAGCCTGCGATGTTAAGACCGAAATCCAGCTTGGACTGCCTGGCATGAGTTCCTGAAGCTCTGGAGTTCATGGAAAGTGTTCGACGTTGACCTAAAGCCAAAGCAAAGGGGGAGGCAAGCACATGCCGAGCGCCTACCAAAGCAAAGCTTCTTGGGCGAACCTTTCGAAGGACGCATATTCAGTCTTGAAGCGCTCCTTCCGGAAGATTTGGTCACTGCAGCACTCGGCACCGGACAACAGTCCGGAGCAAGGGCATTCTGTAGCCCCTTGATTGAGTTCAGACGAGTGCGAAGCTTCAGTATGGTTTGAAGCATAGCAGCTGCGGAGTTGCTTTTGGTTCTGGCCAGGCCTTCGTGGCTGGAGATGGAGATATCTCCGTGCCAAACCAGACCTGGTTTCGTCTTCAAGCCTTCGAGACTTGCTTCTACACCCCGGAGCTTCATCAGGCACAGCGGTTTCTGCATGTCCATTTCTGGAGCCAGTGGCAGAGCGGGGTCTGTCGCAACATCAGGCTTTGCTTGCTCCATCAAGAACCTTGAGCCAGATTCTGGGGCTACGCGGCGATGAGAGGAGGTTACAACGAGGTTTGGCTTTCGGAGCCAAGGCGGTTCGCGATTCCTATCTCACACGGACTCTCTTGATCCGAGGCTGACGATACCTCCTTGGCCGGAATTGGTTGCTGCCAACTCACCGAACGAGCCCCCTGTACAGAAAGTTTCCCCGGCGTCGGACAAGCTGTGCAGGCATCTTGTCATGCACATACGTTCACAGACAAGGTGGAGTGGAAAAGCACATTTAAAGGCCGCCACGTCTTGGACTCGCTATCAACTGCGAATGTTCTTAGCGAAGTACGAAATCTGTATATTCAGTGAATAACGAAAAATACAGCTGAGAGAAGGGAGTTTAGATTCAAGCTTATTCCAGCGCCAGCGGACTGCCATCGGCTGCGCGTCTAAACGGTTTGCTTGAAGAAGTTGGGAAGTCCTGGGAGAGACAATGTGGACTGGCCAATGCTTCCGACGGGCCCTGGGCTTTTGCGTGACATCTGTTCTACGACGTTGGGTCAGGAGGTCGCATAAGCATTCTCCACTGGGGGTTCAGAAGAACATTCCAAGGCAAAGCCCCGTTCCGTTTCCTGTCGGGGCGGATTCTACGGTGGACTGTGCATCTGTGCGTCTGATAGAGAATATCTTGATGTTCTTATGCAGTGCTCGAGTGCCCGTGGCTTGCCTTGGCTTGGTGGCGGCACGGTCCCTGAACAGCCGAGGTACAGGAGCCAAAAACACTTCGGAAGGCTGCTGTTCAGCAACTGGTTTGGGCTTCAATACCTGGCTGATCGTCGTTTCGAAATGCGGTAGAACGTTTTGCGAAAGACAAGCCTTCCCCATCGCAAGCTGATTCGCTCTTGGGACTCTTGAGCCTAATTCTCAAGGCCGAATCTCGAAGGTCTGGTCTCTGAATCCGAGTTAAGATTAGTGTCGAGTACGAGTTACGGTTGAGGCAGCAATCATTGACTCGCAGTGGTTTCAGGGTCTGTTGTCAAGGCTAGAGTGGGCTGCTCTGCAGTCCAGTCTGTTTGCCGTTCGCATGCAAACCCGTTCTGGCAGAAGGCCCCTGCTAGACAAGACGACGCCGTACCAGAAGCTCAATGTTGCAGAGGAACAGGGACGATTTGCGTGTGTAAGATGCGCGATGCGCCTGCGCCATCGCAGTCAACAGACTAATACTGAGCAGTTTCGAGCGATACTGTAAAGACTCCACGCTTGCCGCGGTCACCATCCTGCAGGGTCAATATGTAGATGGATATTACAAGTCAGAAATATGTTACAGTAACAGTACTTGTTAAACACTCAAGGGTCTAAGCATGCAGATCTAGCATATTTAGCGAAAACCTGTTGTCTATACTGCAAACAGCTTGCAGTAAGTCCTGTGTACTCGGTCGGAGCAAACTGCTTAAGAAGTACGGTCGCAGAATCGGCAAAAACTGTATTGAGTGTTCGGTCGGACGAGCTGATCTAGGTAATCATTCGGTCGGAGAAAGCTGTCATCCGTATTCGATCGGAGAAAGCAATCCTAGGTATTCGATCGGAGTTCTTCGTCGGCAGCCTTTGTAATTTGTGTGTTTTCGTTTCTGTCTTCGGCAACCATGACATATGCCACCACGGCTCTCCCGACCGGGACGGCAACAGTCAGCCCCCTTTCCCACCATGAACAGAAAAGAACGAAGAGATGCCCGCGAATCCTACATCACAGATCTTCCCAAGATGAAGCGGGACAATCGAATGTCGAGGAGCCCAGTTCAAGATGCACTGCGCTGTTTCTGGACGAGGCTCCGCGACCGTAACAGCCGGGATATTTCAGGGATAATGCACATTGAGACCACGCAAGGGGCTGAGGGTCTAGGCACACGCAGGCATCACACATCCACTTACTCAATTGGTCATTGCCGCTTCCATCTTCATCTATCAGGATTTCGTTTGCGACAAACCAAGCAACCGTTTCCTGCCTCAGGAGCTGCAGCTCACGAACGTCTTTGGAGATTCTCAGCTTTCATCGCAGTATCGTCGGCCTGGGCTGTGATCTCCGAGCATTGGTACCTACCTGATCTACTTGTAGGCGGCATCGTAGGCTTCATCGGCTCATGCTTTTCCTGACAATGACCCGCAGTGTCATTGTATTGGTGGTGATGTGCCCTCGTGCATGAAGCACGGCGTCAGCAAGCGGATGGTAAAGGCTGCCACATACACGTGCGATCGCAGATGGACACCAGGCATACCGCCGTGCCCAAACCGCCTAGCGGCCCGACACGATGTCCGAATCAATTTTGCCGCCAAGGACTTCTACCACGAGGCATTGGTTCATCCGGCCATGGCCGCTTTGGGACAACTGGGACGATGCCTGCAATGCAATAAGCTTTTAGGTTTTCAGTTCTTCAGGTTCAGGCATGTTTCAGCCTCGGGATGTTTGGGTCAGGCGACAGGCTTCAGAAAAGGTGCTGGGCAGTTGAGACGTGAGCACCACAGCTTAATGATACGAGCCAGCATTTAGATCTTGTCTACATGCAGTAGGCACCAGCAGAGGTCTTAAACGAATGGAATGACAGATGTCGGACTTGATGATGTTTGACTTGAGTCAGTCGCTTCGAATTCAGACCTCGCACGCACTACGAGCTAGGTGCCAAGACCCGGAGCCAGAGTCCATAGTCTTAAGTTGTAGTTTGGATCTGCAGGGACTTGGATGCCGGACGTAGGGCGTGTTGCACTGCTGGCTTCAAGAGCAGTTTGGCTTTCAGTATGCTTGGAAGCCGGTGGGTTTTGGGATCGCATGCCATCATATTCCAAGGACGGGTTCTTGTAATTGGAGCCGGCGACGGAGGCGTTGCCACTGCACTGTTCAGGTGCGCGCGAACTAGGGGCCCTCTGGAGGATGTGCCCGCATCCTCCAGTATACATCGTTGGCTCGATCCTGCTTAGATTTTGATGCAGACTGGGTGTACAAGATTGCTATCCAGGGAACATTCTCAAGAAAGCATTTCTCTCAGGCATGGCTCCCGCGGCCAAGAATCCTCTTGTCGTGGTGGGGTTGAAGGCCATGTTTTAATGTTTTCGGACTGCGCAGCAGAAGTTAAAGGTGTCCAACAGTGGGGATAGGTGCAGTACGGTACAGTAGTCAGTAGTTGACACGAAATCGCTGCACACGGCTCGTAAACACGCAAACATCGGGCGGGTCCTGGAATGTGACAGGCTAGGAGCCGTGTCCCAGCATGCCATGGCAGATCCTGTCAGACAATGGAATGCGCTAGCCGCTACGCCAAAGAGCAGCGACGCATGAAAGCAATCGGGCTCGCGGCTCCATTCAAGCTTTTAGCGTTTAGGGTCTTGTGCGGACTGGACGGCTGAGCAGCAGGTCGAGATATCCAAACTCCGGTGTGAGGACCTCTCCCTTTAGGATCGTGCTTGTGCTAATCCGCTGGTCTCCGGGTCAATGGTGTGCAAATGTGTGCAAGCCTTGTCTAGGCTTGGCCCATGGTGTTACTTGGGGAAGCAGAAAGGGGATGCAAGGGCCAACCCGCAGGTACCCACAAGTGGAGAAGGTCATTCAGGTTGAGATTGATGAGGCTGTCCCGGAAGTGGCGCAGGAGTTCTTGCCAGAGATTGCGGCGGGCTATCAGGCCGTAGACTCGCATGAAAACCATCTTCTGGATGAGAAGAAACATGAACATTCAGAAAGCTGAGAATCACCCTCGAATTTCAGGCGCATCAGTCGGATATCCCCTTTACAAAACGACGGAATTAGCAAGCATGCTTGAATTGTCGTGCACACTGTTCAGAAAGCATTCACGGGGATTTAAGAACCTTCCAACTTATTCCGAAGGAGACATTGAACACCCGCGGTTGTGCTAGGTTGTCCAGTAGTGCTTTTCTCCAGGATCCGCGGCACGAGTTGGTCATCATGGATGGCGTGCGCTGGGTGGAAGAGAATCACGTCGAGATGAAAGGCAGTTTCGATTTGTGCATCATCGACTCTACCGATGATCCGTTGGGAAGCCAATGGTCTGTGAAGTTTTTCCATAACCTACAGGCTTTGCTGCGTCCCCATGGCGCGGTCGTGCAGAACATCGGCAGTCAGATGGATGAGTTGGATGATTTCCGGAAGCTGCATGTGGGGTTTCAGAACCGCTACCTCATCAACTGCAACACCCCAGATTACCCATCGCCTTACTTCATTGCTTTGTTGACGAAGAAGCTGAGTCCTCATGATGTCGATTGGACCTGGTGGTCATCTCTGAACATTTCCTCGGTCTATTACCACCCCACGATTCACACCGCGCTTTTTTCAGCCCCTCGTGAGACGATTCAGCTTTACCTGGACGGGATTGGCTGGCAGCCACACGATGCCAACTTTTGTCGCCATGCATTGGTCGACCGGCAAGGCTCGCAAAAGAAAGGTAGGACCCACGAACTTTGAAATCCGAGCGTTTTTGCCACCAGCACTTGCGCATGCCGCAGGATCATGTGCCGAGAGCTGGCAAAACGACGAGTGCTGACAGCTGTCTAGTTGGAAGATGCTCGGATGATCGCCTCCTGGAAAGACGATGCTGACGCATCTCATCGAAGCTGAAACCGTGGTGTGAACTTGCCATGAATTTGGCTCGAGGAGTTGGGAATTGGAGCTGGCGAAGGCCAATGAGGAGCATGTGGGCATGCAACAAACGCCAGTGCCGATTGCTCATGCTGTCTCAGAGCGATGTGAAAAGGTCAGCAAAGAGCTTCAACACCAATTTGTCGCCAAGATGACAACACATGCCCTGTGACACTCAGTCCCCCCACCCTGGTTACTACCCGGTGAAGCCCACCTCGGTATGTCGTTGTATGTAGATGCCCAGCACAAGGCCTCGAGGTTGCACGATCAGTGAGAGCTGCCGGAGCCCCAGGATCAGGAAATGACGGGGCACTTTGTGCCGCATTCACAGACGACAGGAAGTTGGTGGACTTGCATTGCCAAGGGCGCACTGCAACTTTGCATAACCTTGCCTAGGAGGGTGGGATGTGGGATGGGGCGAAAGTTGAATGGCGTTTAGTACACCAACACCATCTCATTGAGTCCTTCTGCACGCTAACCCGACGATTTGTCAATGGTCAAGTAGAGATCGTGTGTGGCTTGAGCACTTGACTTCGGCACACTGCAGTTGAGCCGTCATTCGACCCTAGTACAGCGGGACCCCAGCAGCCCTACGCATCCGCAGCATCATGCAGGCCATGCTCGCGCGCCGAGAACTTTACATACATGCGGTGCCTACACGCAGTCCGATTCTCTTAGAATTACTGACTTGCGTTTGCGAGGCGCCAACACCCTACGGCCAGCCAGCAGCCCAGTCCCCTCGACTAGGGGCTCCAAAACATAGGTAGGGTTTTCATTTTTGTCTCGCAGATCTGCTTTGCTGCGCGCATGCGGTGAATCTAGCATGGCCCACGCATCGTCAGAACGGCGCACCAGCAGGCAGGCGTGGCAGGCGTGTCAAGGTGTCACGGCGAGATCGAACTCAGTGCAAACAAGTTATAAGCCCTGTTTCTTTCGCATGTGATGGCTGCCAGGCCGTTGGAACAGCCCGTGTACAAGGATGACAAGCCTCTTGGCCTTGAAAATCTGAAGGCCTGCAGAATTTTTGAACCAGAGCTCTGAATCATGCAGCCACTTTGTTCGGAAGCATGTCGGGGCCCTTGACTCGTTCCCTTTTCGATCATTTGCAAAGTCCGAGTTGCAAGGATATGCTTACCCAGAAGCTACCTATCGTCCGGTGTCAAGCATCAGGTGTTCTCATTTCCAAGACACTATTCTACGGGCCTGTCTCTCGCAGGCCGTCGTTAGTTCCGCTAGATCACGCAGTCGGAACTTGCAGCTAAGGCAAGGCGTCAATGCTTTTGCTGTCCGGCCAGTTACCGAGCACTTTCTTTACGAAGGTCTTGTGGCTTCTGTACCAGCACAGCAACTTGGTACTGCAGCCTTTGTTCTGCCTTGCGCAGCTTACTTGACGAGTGGGTCAATGTGCGGTTCGGAGCTGCAGCCTGGCGGTGCCTGTAGCCTCACAGGGGGCTGGCATCGAAGGTTTGATTTTGCTCACCAGGTCACCTTTACTTACACTCTACACTGAGGGGACTGTTTTCAGATAGTGCTACATGTGTACTGCATACTGCACACTGCTGTATAGGCCACTTCAGATTCCAGTGCCAATGCACATGAAGGCCCGACCTTCGTCTCGTGGCTGCCGCACGTTGGGACCTTGGCCTTCTGAGTTCTCCGAGCCGGACAGAGGCTGGAAGATTGCAAGGTCGATCTATCGGGTTCCGGTAGCTCGGTGCATACCGTGCCTACCGATCTGCAGGCCCGCGGGCTCGAAGCAGTCTTCATCACGGCATGAACCGTGCCGGAACTGTTCGGAACCGGGCTGAAGCACTTCAGAATGGTTTGAAATCCATGTGGTCTTGCGTTGGAATCCCGAATCGCTGTGCAGCCGAGTCTCTCAGCAGTGGGATTCGGTCACGAGCCGGGCCGAACCAGTTCCGAAAGGTTTGGAACACTGAAGATTGACGAACACTCAACAGGCCGCGAACCATATGCCTCGCGTGGATTGTCCGAGTGCGAGAGACGAACCCCACAAATTCTGGTTAAGATGCAAGTGTGTTCGCGCTTTCCTTTACCTTTTGCAGTGCTTGGCTTCACACGACTGAAAACTTTGATGCCGGATGTAACCCGGCACCAATCGCACCCGTTTTGCGAACTCAGGCTGGGATCGACGCGTCGAGCTCTTTGATGCCAAGCTGGCATCTCAAGACATGTCCTGGCATGCAGACGTGGCTTTCCAAGCGTTAACTACCGCAGTCACGAGTGTCACTAGCGAAACGTTTTGGTAATTTCAACAGCGGGTCACTTCTTTGTGTTCGCTGGTGCCTCTTCCTCTACAATAGAAAAGAGAGACCGAAAGAGACAGACAGATACAGATCGACAGCCAAAAGCGTAGACAAGGACACCGCAAACCGACAACAAACGGACAGACACGAACGACCGGCCGCAACCAAGATGTTACGCGGGTTCTCTGCAGCACGAAATGTACGTGGATATCCTTGACGCCCAGGGTTACGAATCGTGAAAGGCCCGTCAACTTGCTGACTATGATTCTGCAATTGATAAGTGACGCTTGTGCGTCAAGGACAGCCACTTCTCTCGGGCGACTGGCATGTCACGATGGGGGCGTGTTGGGCTGAGCTTCGAACCCATACCGCATACCATGGGAGCCAGGTTCCGCAAGCTAAATATTCGGTGCTCGAGGTGCTTTGCGTTTCCTTCGACCGCCAGCGGGGTGCTCTTGCTGCAGGAGGTGAGGATGGCCGCCACTAGGACAGCAGAGGCTAGCAAAAGGGCTGGCGACATGATGCTCGCAGCGGCAGAACTGTCAAATGCAGTCAACTAATAACCAGCAGGAGTCGCTTGATTCATGATCATGGCTTGTGCCAGCTTGTTGCTTGTGACATCTGCCGAGGAATTGCAGTTTGGGGCCTTTTCAGCGAGACTTACCAGGGGCACGAGCCTCAAGACGGATTATGTCTTGCTACTCGAGGTCTCTGACACGATACTGCACGTCTTCACTGCAAAAACTCAACACGAAAGCCTCTTCCAGGCCTTTTTCTTCGGCAGCTGCAGAGGCCGGCGTGGAAGTCCAGACATGACTTGTGCAGTGACTCTGCTGCTTGCGAGGTGCATGGCCGCTGTGCACACACTTTCCAAAGCCTCAACTCTTGTAAGGTACTTGGGCAAGAAAGCATCGAAAAGGCTCGAGCCGAAGGATTGGAAAATTGAGCTGCCTGCCGTTTGCCGGGAAGGCGCTTGAGTCAAGGCTGCTTTTTTGCGTGCTTCTATGACGATGGGTTGGGTTGGCAAATTTCGCAGCCAAGCCAGCCAAGCAAGCGTACGCTGAGCAGCGGTGAGGCACAGCAACAAGCGGATCAACATCAGTTCTGTCTGTTTCAGCTACTGCGACACATCTCACAGGGATTGTAACGAATTTGGAATGACCTGAGAACATTTGCCGTTTCTAGCCGTGCATACCGTGGCATACTGTACAGGTGCTGCTGGTGTGCTGGTGAAGAGTTAGCCTTGCAAACACAAGCCACACTGCTCGTCGAGTGATACTCAGCTTCGTACTTTGCATATTCCTCCTAGCCTGGCATAACTCTCGCAACGACCTCCAAGTCGTCATAAGTCGTCCAAAGGCTAGTGTACACAGTCAAGCTGCCTGAGGGATGATGGGAGATCGCTAGTTATCTATCTGGGTTGTCTCGGTTGGCCTGAGCACGTGAGGACGTCGTCCTGGCTGTACCTTCGTCTCCTCTTCCTCTTCCCCGTTTGCTTTCACTCCATGACGTTCGTGATGTTCCACCTGGCATATTCCACCTGCCATATACATTCAGATGTATATATTAAATGCATGTATAGATGTAGATAGCTTATCTCTTCATTTCGCAGATCGCCATGCAGTGCTTATTGCCGGTGTGCCCTGCATCAGTCTTGTGCGCTGCACAACCTTGCAATCACTTCCTGGCTCAGGCAGTATGTCACCGACACGGTGTGTTGAAGGTGCGAAGCCTGCCTAATCAATGCTTCAACAACTTGCAGTATCGTAGCGCTGTGGTCCAACTCACAGCCAGCTAGGCTAGGCCTACATGCAAGAACAGGTACTGCACGGAAGATGAAACAGCAAAGCCCGCAAGAAATCTGTGAAGCAAAGCATGGCCGCGAAACTTCGCTGCCTCCTTCTGGTGGCAGCCATGTGCTCCGCATCTGGTCAGTCCACTGATGTGAGCACGAAGCCGTCCAAGAGCCGCCTTGGCAGCACGGGGCTCCAAAAGTTCGCATAGATGACATACAAACGTGTTGAATGCCGAAAACTTGCGCAGGACTGCCACTCGCAAAAGTCGGCCTTAGGAGCCATGCAAGCCGTACTATTAACTGTAGCAGTTGCACCAGCGCGTTTTCCACAAACGCTGGGATATGTTGGGAGTTGGGAGGGGGAATCTCTTTGGGTCGATCTTGCTTGGGCCGCAAATGGGATGGGGCAGGCAGGCGCATGGCTACGACAGCGACCATCTGAGTTCTTGATGTTTTCGTCGGCTGCATGGTTCGGATAAGGCGTAAGACAAGACAAAAACACTCAGCTCTGTTGGCTCGCTCCGTACACGTCCACTAGCCGAGGTTCGGTCACCAAGCAGGTTGGATTTCTGAAGCTCACGCATGCAGACACGAAGTGTTACGTGACAAGTTTTCAATACCCAGCAGGATCCTGTGGTTTTGTGCGGATATTTCAGTAATTGCCGAGGCCTGCACAGAATTTGAAACTCCGCAACGCTTCGCCGGTTCGTTTCGTGAGGTGCTCGGAGTGTTTACTGCAGCTTTGCACTTACTGTGGACAGGTGAACTGCGCGTTTGACATCTACGGTGTCCTGCTGGCAGCTGGAAAGGCGGGGAAGGCCTTCTACTCCACGCAGAAGAAGTGCCGCAAGCAGGTGGGGCGAGAGCGCTCTTGGAGCAAAACCGCATGGGGCAATTGTTTTGAAGTGGTGCAACGGGTCCACCGTTTGCACCCGGCATATCGAGGGTCTGAGAAGGCTTGTGGCTTTGATGTGAACGGTCGACGTCCACATCGGGGCCGAGAATACGTAGAGTCCTGTTGTGTTGAAGCCGAATACCTGCATGTCGTGCACCGCCGGCCCGAATAAAGAAGTGCGTTTCGCTGCAGAGGGACCTCAAGCCGCCCTCGACGGTGGGGGATGTTTGCGGGTCGATGAGGGTTCGAACTGCAGGTGCTTCCCGAGGCATACAAAACCGCTGATAACGCCATTCAACATCCATGCGTGCATCCGTGCATGAAAGTCTGTCAGGACACTGAAGAAGAGAAGCGCAGCTGTGCATCGTCCGTCCAAGGGCGACTTGGTCGCATTGGTCGCAAGGGGACAGCGCATAAGATCAATCTCAGCTGCCGCTTCTTTTCATCTTGAGTGTGCACTGGACACGGTGGCGGGTTCTCCTCCAGTCAAGGCTCGTGGCCTCTTTGGGCTTCGTGGCATCCTTTACAGCCGGTTCGGCAAACGCTTGTGCCACGAGCTTGAATGCACCTAAAGCTGCAAATCTTTCAGCAACAGGTCATTTTGCTCACTTAGCAGAAAAGCCTTCATCGAAAGCGAACCCCCTTGCCTGATTTTCTACCGCCGGTCCAAATGTCACATCGCTGTGCTAGTGCCGCACCCTGCTAATTCGGCTTGTCTTGGGACGTTTTGGGCACGCTGAGGCACCTGCGATTTGCTCTGGGGCGGCTTCTGTCTTTGTGTCTGTCCTGTCCATCATGGGCGGAGCCTTCTCAAGCTTCAAGTCTGCTTGCGCCGATGATGAAAAGGAGGAGCGTCTGCTCTCTCAGCTTTGTGTTCGATGTCAGTGGTACGGGGTAGTGGACATATGCCAGACCTTGTATTACCAGCGATTGTGGCGGAAGTGGTCTTGGCAGTTGTGGTAGTTGTAGTTGTAGCTCCCACGTTGTGGTTTTTGGCAAGCTTGCATTTCCATCTTGCCCACCCCCAGAAAAACTTAGATGAGCAAGTTTGCCGTGCAAAGTTAAGTTGGTCAAACGATGTCGGTCCTCCTTTCCCGGCACGATGTAGCTGTAGTAGTAGTAGTAGTAGTAGTAGTAGTAGTAGTAGTAGTAGTAGTAGTAGTAGTAGTAGTAGTAGTAGCAGTAGCAGTAGCAGTAGTAGTAGCAGTAGCAGTAGCAGCAGCAGCAGCAGCAGCAGCAATATTGGTAGGAGTAGTCGTCGTAGTAGTCTTAGTAGTTGTTGTAGTTGAGGTTGTAATTGTTGTTATTGTTGTGGGATAATGACAGAGACAGAGGGAGAGGTAGACTGACAGATCTGTGTTTGTGCGGAAGCGGAGAGAGACGAGGGGCTTTAGTTTGTGGACCCGACGTCCATGCGCGTACCTCTGATTGCACCCGACAGACAATTGCCTTGACACCGCTGCATACCGCTGCAGTGCAGGACACGGTTGCGTTTCGACGTTTGCATGAGCATCACGATGCTTGGTCTGCTGCAAATATGAGTAGCCCTTCTCACTTGGCGACGCTCCCACCTTCGCCGCTTCGTGTTTTGGACGCGGACATGGAGAAGAGAATCAAAAAGCAGCTCGCTGACAAGCAAAACCGTCAAGCTGACATTACATCCTGCGTGCTGGACGTGGGCCTGGTTTCTTTGTTTACAGGGCGTGGTCTGATGAACGTCGCAAACGCTGCTCAGCACAGCCCTTGCGTGGAGCGCTTTGACTCACATCCAGGAGAAGCCGAAACTGCCTGCGTCGTGCAAGTTTCTGGCATCATCGCTACCTTTGAGTTCGTTGCAAGCTTGCTGGCTGGAGTAGCTGCACTTTGCCCCATCGAACGGCACAAGCCGGAGAAGGCGTGAGGCACAAAGTCTCTTAAGTCATCTTGGGCGAGAACCAATACGAGCGAGGAAACCCCTAAGTCTTAGTGTAAGAGCTACAACGCCGTACGCCCGTACACTTGATGCAAGCTGTGACAGCCAGTCCTGAGCCCCGCGCCCCGTCGTAAGCTGTGAGAGCACTTAGAGGCTAATCATGGCCAATCTTTCTCAGTGACACCTGCTTACAATGTTTCTTCATGTAAGCAGAATAGAAGAGCCCCCCCGCTAAATGTCGCGACTCATACTGTGAGTAAAGACCATGCATCCACCGCAGACTTTGCAAAGGCCTCATGTGCTTCAGACTCCCTGGTCGTGATGGCTGGCATTGGGGCCCTTATCCAAGAAGGTGCAGCCATGAGCCTCGAGCGCCCCAGCTGGACATAGTTCAGAGCGTACTGCTTAACATTGTCGCTGTGTGTCATGATCGCACGGCCACACACGGGGAAAGCTAATCTGTTGAGCTGGTGCTGTTAGCCGTGCTATGTTGCTACGCACGGTGTGATGTTCGGACAGAGTCATGCCTGCAGAATTTGGGTTCTCAGCTGTGGGCTCCGAGAAACACAGATTCTGCCGCCCCGCTTCAGCAGCTTGAACGACAGCACAAAATCTCTGCACTTTCTTGAAGACTCCGTTTGAGCTCTCCCACTCGGATCTCAGGTGTCAAGCAGAGGAGGACGAAGTCGAGCAGCATCTCAACGAAGAGCTGGAAGGCGACATTATCCCCTGAAGCATAAAAGCCTCGCAGCTTCTTGGGCTGCTCATGGCACACGGCTTCTTTGGGTTATGGCTTCGGGCAGGCAATACTTGATCCCGAAAGCCGGTGCAGCTTTCTGCATGCGTTTCCGTCTCAAGTACTCCAGACCTGCATTTCGCTTCAATGGGTCCCACCATGTCCCACCTATTTCAGCAGTATCGAGACTTTCAACACAAATCCAAAGGGCAAATGGTGCTAGGAAGAAGTGGCACAAAAGTCGGCATGGTGTGACCCGACGTGGGGCGCCTGCAGTGCTGGCAGGTCTCAAGCTAAAAGTTTACAAATGTTTAGAGGTCAGTGCTTCGGGCAACTAGTGCCCAGGCATTTGATTAGGAGGTTTGCCAGAGCTCAGTTTACATCAAAGAGATGGCAGAAGGAAGTCGGACCATCTTGAGTTGGCAAGCCAGTTTTTGCTGGCCCTGGGACGCTGTCCCAAGAAGCCCTCTTTGTTTTGCCGATGCGGCGGCGCTTTGGCCGCCACACGTTACACTACGGCTCCTTTGCGATTCCGGCCGTTGCGGAGCTCGTTTGTACAAAGCCGGAACAGGGAGAAGAAGGATTTTCTTGCATTCGCAGCCAGGCGCAATCCCAAATTGGATCAGCGCCAGAAACTGCGCGAGAGAAGAGAGAATCCTCTGGCTTCGCCCCAGATGTCTCGCAGATTGGACCGGTGAAAAAAAGCTGCAAGCAGACTGTTGGACATGCACCCACAGGACTCGGAGATTGAGCAAAAGCTTCGGCTTCATCGAGACCATCGAGACTGGGGTGGAAGATTGCGGGCTTGGGGCATGCGAGGTTGCGACGCTGGCAATCCCTGCGAGCAAATTCTGCAACATGCATTCTACAACATCTAGCAAACTCTCTCTTGAACCTCAGAGTTGTTTTTGGCTTGCTGGGCTGGCACAACCCGATGCCGGCTCGATGCTGCAGTAGTTGACAGTGCCTAGTCCGACCAGTTCCATCGTACAATCCCTTCAGCCTCGAGAACCACAAGCAGTAACTTGAGTAAGGCCGTGCAGAACCGAAAGCAGTGAATTTCAGCTTGCGTTGTGCGTCGCAACTTCAGCTTCAGCATTCCGACGGTACCAGGAGAAGCCGTGTAAAGCTTCATGTGGTTTGAACGCGGGATTCTGCAAGCAGATGTTGAAGCTGGCATGGTCATAGTCTGAAGGGGCGAGAACAAGCGGCTAACATAGGATGCGAGCCTACAGTGTTGCTGCGAAGCACCGCTTCTTGTCTACGACGAGCGTTCCAAGAGAGTCAGCGGTTTGACTTTTGATGCTGACTTCTTGTGGACCAGATGTTGAGGGTGCCTGTACGTGTCGGGAAATAAGTGACTGGTGGATGGCACGGGTGCTCTCTGCCACACAGCATGGTCCTTGCCGCCATCGCCATCTCAGCTCTTCCGTTGGCGGCTCCGGCAACAGTTCGACAAGCCGGGTCCTTCAATCCGAGCTTGACCGGGTCGTTTTTGGTCACTTGCCACGACAGCTCGCTTCTCGGACCCCTGCGATCCCTCGCACTTGTACTACACAAGCCGGGGAGACAGGGCATTTTTGCTGGGTCAGTCCATCCACACACGCACACACACAGGCTGCAACCGGGTAGAGGCTCCTCCGCCGCCTGAAAATAAGTTCCAGGTGGCTTGCGACCGGGTTAGGCTTTGCCTTCTCACCCCATTCCAGTCCTTGAGCATCAGCTTCTCCAACGGTTGCGTGAACCTGATCCCCTAGCCGACAGAAGCTTTACGCATCTTCTTTACTCCAGTCGTGGCAAAGCAAGACTAATCTGCCAGTTAAATAAGACATGCTGATGTCTGTTTTGATTTGTCCGAGCCAATATTCGGATCATGCAGCAGCTTAAGCATACGTCACTACATGTCCTAAATGTCGAGAGAGAGAGAGAGAGAAAAAAAAAAAAAGAACGTATGCTATATGTTTGTAGGGAGCGGATCTAGAGAAGCAATGAATGCAACATTCAATTTTCGATTTTCAGGCACATCGGTCTTATTCTGAAGGGGAAACGTGACCGTTTGCAGCAGCCTGCGAGAGGCTTCGCCGCTTAGGACAGAAGTTTCCCTTCACGTGGTGAGCCATGGAGAACCTTGCTCCAGAGCAGGCAGATACTGACAAGGATGGATCAGGTGCAGCCGGCAGAAGGCAGCACCTAAACGACATCACCTTAGACTTCGGCGCAGAATCCTGGCTCATCAGTAGTATTTGCATTGCGGAGTCGACTGTACCTTACGCAGTGCTTAAAAACCGGAAGGTCGACAAACGAAGCCTAGTAAGTTGCATGTCATTTGTTTACGCGAAACATGAGAAAGACTTTGCACGACACCAACTGCAGGGGGCATCGCTATCGGCATGTTCAGCTTTGCTGCGCCTTGCTTCCCCAGTGTTCGACCGAATGCTAGACTGCGGCATGAGGGAAGCACAGCAAAGCGTCATCAAGGTGGGAAGCTCCTTTGACACGGGGTGTGTCCGTCTCACACTAGCACACCGCTAGCACACTGGCAGGTGGAAGTTGCCCAACTGGAGGACTTCGACTTCTTTTACAACTTGCTCCGGAGACTTGTCGGCTAAGGATTGCTGGGTTGGGCGGGTTGTACCGAGCCCTGAATGTCTTCATGGTGCGGGATGCCTGCTTCGGAAGTCGTACCCGAACGAGGTTCGCACCACCGACTAGGGCTCAGGTAGGGGGCCTGCCTTGGCGATGCAACGTCTGCTACGTAGCCTGGAGACACGGTTCTGGAAGACCCTTCATTTGCATGCATAAACGACAGTCTTGCACACAAAGTCTACATGTGCATGAGTTAGAGCCGCAGATGTGAGTTGCGACATGTCGTCAGGACACGTGCTTGCCTCGTGCGAGTGTGTCGGTCGAAACCGTGGATTTGTGAGCTGTTGCCCCTCCCTTCCTCCATCCCTCCCCAGAGCGAGTCCAAGCACACGTCGATGTGCAAGGAAACGCCTCCATGATATCTGACTGAGGCCAGGTGCATGGAACGCAGACAAGGTGACCGAAGCGAATGTCGATGCCCTTCTTGCCATAAGTGACTCAGCCTACTGCAGCTTGCATTTCTTAACGGATATCTTTCACCCTCCCTGCGATGGTCTGCTGGGGCAGTGGCACCGAGGTGACTACTACCAGGCGGGGGTGAAGTGGTCCGATGTCGACACAGTTCGCTCTATGACAGCAAAATCGCGTTGGACTAGATTGAGCTCTTCTGAAGGTTAGGTTACAGTTTGTATTAGCTGCACGGGTCTTGCCAAATCTGTGGGAGAGGTTCGTCTTGCTCGAGGCCGCTGCTGGCATGCTAGAAACGGGATGCTGACACTTTGGGCACGTGGGGCGTTGGCTGGTGTCAAAAGCGACACTTGGTTGGGACAAACGACTGCAAGGGGATATGTGAGACAACGTGAGATACCATGCACCCTAAATATGAAAATGTCCGCAAGTTATCATCCAAGTGTATCTTGTGTTTCGGTTCCATTGGTCCGACTGGATTAATTCTCAGTTTGCTGTTGTTTGGGCGCAATCATTGATGATCTATGGCAGATAAAGATTTACATGACTAATTCGAAAGCCCCTCACGATCACCGGGATCCCTGGGCAGCGAAACTCGAGCAGTGAAACGTAGTTGCTGTAAAGCCCATCTCGAAACCCTCACGTAGGAGGTTCGTTTACTCACGGATCAGGTGGCCTTCCTCAAGACCACCTGCGAGGATACAGAAGGGCAGCTTGAGGGTACGAACTCTTCCCAACATGAGAGAAGCGGAGATGTGTTCCGGGGTTTGCTGGCGCTTCATTCAGAGCGCAGGGCTGCTCCATGGTGTTTGTACTCTGAGGCACACCCAACCCAGATGCCGCTGTGAAGTTTTCATGTTTGGGTGCTGGAAATTTGCTATTTAGGGTCGATTGGATTGGACACCCGAATGCCCTTGCAGCCACATGGACAAAAAGTCCAAGCAGCCTTTCAGCGAGGACAGGCTTCTCAGTCTGCCTGTGACTTCGGGCCGCCTTCTACAAGCCCACAAGCGTGGCCTTACACGGCACCCTAGCCGAAAGTAAGTGCCAGGGCCAATGCACAAGACGGCCGTTGGAAGCCAAGGCAGTATGAGCGATGCATTGCGTGCCAGGCCAGAGACTGCACCCCAGAGGCACGGGTCTTCAAAGGGCTCATTATTTGTCCAACCCATAAGCATGCAGCTTCTGCTCCTCCTGCAGGACTTGGTGGACCTCTCTCGGACCTCACCTGAAATCATGCTTGACTTGGCCTTGCGAATGCGGGAAACACAGCAGCTTCGCTAACTCGTTTAACTGCCTGACAGCGCATCGCATCCAGAAGGTTATGGATCCTTTCGGAAGCGCACTAGAGCAAGAGTGAATGAACTATTGATGGGAGGGTGGTATTTTCGAGAAGCATCCTACCTGCCTAGCAGAAGCAAGTCTTCACGTCTTCCGCCCTAGTCAGCCTCATTATTCCTCGGCCAAGGCAGCAGATTGGCGAGATTCGCGCAATGAGACCCACCTTGGCGAACGTCAAGTACATGGCAGAAAATTACATTCCAGAGTTTCAGTTCAATCGAAGTGGCTACATCTCACGAGCTCTGAATGTGTCTGAAGTCCAGAACCTAAGCTATTTGCGCGGGCATATTCCAGTCGCCTTGGAACCTGTGCTAGATCTTCTGGACTCTTTGGAATGAGCCTGGTGGCTGCCGGTGGTCCATGATTTGGTATCGGGAGTGGGTGAAGTGGTAGCCACATTCCATGTTCCAGGATTCGGTGTACAGACTTTAAAGTTGTTTACAGATTCGCAGGGTGCTAAAGCTTGACCCCAAGTCTCTCATGTTTCGGACCCAATGCGGTCTTTGTTAGCTGTTCGTGGCGAGAAGAAACCAAGAAGACTACTGGTGGCCGCAGGCAGCCCGAGACGGAAGGTGGTTGAAGCTTTGGATTGTGGGTTTAGCCGTAGCCCAAGCGTCAGACTGGCAGTGACATGGTGCGCTTCTCGTAACCAGGCCAGGAAATTGAAGCTCGGGGGTCGATAGGAGGACATCGCTTGGCAGCGGCCTGCACAGCGCAACCAGCAAACGGCACTCAAAGGCCGTTTTGGTTCAAGCATATACGGATCCGGAGTTGCGAAGTGGGCGCGATGAACCGCTTCCTGGGAAGCCACTCCGCCACGAGTTGCCACGTTTTGAGCCGTCATGTACCTAACCTCGTAAGCATGATTGAAAGTACCGTGTTTGGCTTGCTCATGTCGTGGCCGTTGAAACGGGCCCTTGATGTGTCACGGCGCAGCTGTGTGCACAAAAGTTTCGGAGCTCGGCTTCGGTGGTGGGACAAGTGGTTGAGACTGCAAGACTGCGGCGCTTGATAGCTGCAGTTGAAGATGGGTTGGCCACGGCGGGAGCTGGGTAGAAGGCATCGCACTTCGGGAGGCGTCACTCCCAGATTTGCTATACTGTGGCCAGAACTTGGCAGTTCCTGGCATCGTCGCGCATATCTGCAGTTTGAATAGCCAGTCTTTGTCCCCCCTGCTGACACAAGTGCTGAAACAGGGGAAACACGGCATCCCGAGATTCGAGCAGCCTCTAGCAGTAGCAGTATGCGCCAGGATTTACGTTGTGGGCGCTCCTCGCACCTCTGAGCAGCGCTGCGAAATACATCATTGGCCAGGAGGTGGCTCGGCTTTCCAGCAAGAGAGCAGTCACGTCAGTGCCGTGAAATCGAGGTTTGCACCGGCCCAGGTCATTCCAAGAGTTGCGAATAATGAAAGAGGTTTCGAATGTGTGCTTTTGCATGTTGGGCTGCAGCGCAGCCTTCTGCGGCCTTGTTTGGACACATTGTCATGCACGTGTGCGACTGAATCCATGGAAGCTTTCGTCCGAAGAAGCCAGATTTTTGTGCGGCAGGAGCGGGCTGGTGCTTACGAGGCCTGGTTGGATTGCAGGGGTTCAGCTAGGGCATCCATCCGCTCGGGGCTCCCTGCTTTCGATTTCGATAATTCCCCCCCGCGGGACGTCTGCCTCGCGAGGTTGACGGTTGCTGACAGTTTGGAACAGCTGGTGGAGGTCTTGTGTGGTCCATTGAAAATGTGAGAGAGAATGGTTCTGTAGCTGCTTCCAACAAATCCGAAGGAAGCTGTCGCGTGCTGCAGCATGATATATAATGATATATATATATATATATATATATATATATATATATATATGTATATATGTATATATATATATGTATATATATATATATATATATGTATATATATATATATATATGTATGTATATATATATATATATATATATATATATTCTGGTATAAACTTTATAGATAGCTTATGTCTCTATGGCAGAACCTGCAGCTACGGCCATCCACACTGGAACCCGCAGGTGGTTTTTGACGAGGAGAAGACTGTACTCGACTTGTCCAAGGACTGCTATCCCGGCAAGGCCGCACAACCAGATCAAGGCATGCCGAGACTGGGGAGTGCCGGTGCCCTTGGTGCTGCGAGGTCTGCCCGCCAGTGGTGATTATGGTTGGTCGACAAGTAGGCGCGTGGGTTACATGCAGCGAAGTTTTACGAGCACCGAAAGCTCAGAGTAGACCGGCAGAGGGCAGCACAAGATACTGCCCGACAACGACTGTCAACAGCCAGAAATGTGTAACCCCTCATTACGGAGCCCGAAGACGAAGATCAAGAGGACGACTGTTCCAGAAGCATGGGACCCGGGATATTCAGGTATATCCAGGCTCATGGTGCGCGACGTTACTTCCGGAGTTCGTTGTGTTTGGATTTCCAGTATCTTTTGTTGAACTGTTGACTTCCTCCGCAACTCTCTTTGAGGTTTGCGGCGGGTTTTGTTGTGAATAGCAGCTATTTTTTGTCGTTCGAGGGCAACATCAGCAAGGGTTTCCTGATTGCATCCTCACACAGAGCGCCCAAGTAGCAGCCTCACCAGTCTCGCTCCTACTCAAGCGTGTGCTCGCATCCGCGAGCCAGCACAGCTCTGCAGTTATTTGGCGGACAGGAACGATCGAGGTCTCCAACTGCCACGAGGGCGCAGCAGTCTCGGTTTGGTCACCAGAGCGCTGCAGTGCAGGTTGCCTAGTCAGAGGCTAACAAGGTCACTGAGCGCCTTCTGAAGTTTGCTTGCTTGGAGATGGCTCGATCGCACAGGTGATGTACACTTTCGTGAACAAGGGAGACCTGGCCCCTGCCTCAGCAAACAGCTGTTGCATTGCACTCTAGGTTGGCAGATTTATTGCTTGGGAGTTTCTGTGAATGTTGAAGTTTCCAGGCCTAGAGCATTTGCTTAAGAAAGCATCTGGGGAAGGTTGGTCCGAGCTCCGAGAGGGAGAGTGGACACCATCCCACCCTCAACATCCGGTGGGTATCGTGCTGACGTGCCTCCATGATCACGAAAGCTCCATAGGACGCTTGCGGAAGTTGTTGTCTCCTTGCTCAATCCTCACCCGGATGAATCCGGAAGGCTGCTCTCTCGACGAGTGGGGATAGGGGGCGCCACCCCCGCTCAAAGGATCAGTACAAGGGACAGCATTGCCTCATAGTTCCACGGCCACCACAGGCTTTTTTTCAGACTCGTTGTCGACAAGCACAGTGTTCGCTTACCAGCATCAGCTCGCCTTTGCAATACCCTGGTGCCCGTTAGTTTTGTCTCCCTGACTTGTGACCTCACTTCTCATTCACTTCTCTCAAGTGAGGTGCTTGCACTCTTCTCATTCCTAAATGCTAGGCGATGCTCCGACTCAAGCGGCCTTGGTTGAACTTTCGCCACCACTGACTGCGTAGATCTGAGGATTGATTGATGTCGCCTCAGATTCAGATTGCTTAGGTCCTTGTTTAACGATAAGTTTCCTTGCCCAACCTGCAATGGAGAAGGCGATGTTGGGCACATGTCTCTCTTGTTACCTGCTTTCCAAGGATGCTGGCGTCGTCGTGCAGCATGAAGGAGGTCTCTACGGTTCCAAGGCTCACAGCTCCGCAGCCAGCATATCCAGTTGTGTTCGAGGAGCTGGAGCAGGAGGATGTTGTGAACTGCGAAGCTATCTGCAGACTTTGATCCGAAGCCCTGTACTGCAGTCCTGTGCCTACATCCGCAAAGACACCTTTTTCCTAAGTGACCGGAGCTGAAACTTCGAATCCCTGTGCATCCTGACACATTCCTCGAAACTCAAGCACAAACAACTGCAGGGTATCCCGCAGTTTGGTGTCGGAACTTGCTTCTGCTACCGAGAGGGGGCCCGGTGCTCGGACGGATGGAGTCACATCATCCATTCTTTCAACGTCGACTGCTCGAGAATACTGTTCTTTCCCAGCCCTCGTAGCCAGAGTGTGAACATGCAGTCTGCGACCAAGAACCTGATGTGCGGCTGATGCCATTGCGAATCATCGGGCTACGGCCACTGTCAGGGGTCCCCAGTACTCAGTGGTCGTCACGAGATGTCACGAGTTTGAGGGGGAATGTTTTATGAGCGGATGCCATGAGAGCAGTGCAGCTTCAGTCGAAACAGTGCAGATGATTGTTGATGATGAGCAGGCAAACGGCTGCACATGCCAGCCCTACTGTGAAAGGCAAGTTCGACGATGCTGCTTTAGCGCGAAGACGGCAAAGAAGACAGCTAGACTCGATTCCGGACTTCCCAGCGGAATCCTTCAAGCCAACCTCAAGATTCATTATGTCGTAGGTCGCAGGTGGGTACAATGCCTATTGGCTCAGCAGTTCGATACGTGTGTGTCGCTGTTGGATTGTGTGTTGACCTCGGGTGGCGCTGATTCTAACAGCACCTTGCTGAGATGGCTTTGGCTTGACAAGGGACCCGCGATATCGCAGTGCTTCATGGGATCATGGGAGAGCACTCCTGTCAATAAGTGTCACTGGTCCGGAGCGATGTGCGCAAAGGTAACGCAAGCAAGCGAGCATCAAGTCCTTTGAAGCGGCAGAGATCGGCAGAGCAAAACTGAACAAGGGAATGGAAATGAATGAGATGCAGTTGGGGAGCAGTCGGTCGTTAAGTAAGGTTAGTGGCACGGAAACCTTTTCGGCGCACTCTCTCCGACCAGGCCGCGGTGTACAAATTCAGCGGAAACCTTAGTCGCAAAAATTCTGCACCCACGGGCCTGCCATCGCTTCATTCGTTCTGCCTGCTTTGTTACCCGAAGTTGGAACAGCCTTGATATCTTTCGTGCAGGCGTTCTCGGGCAGAGCACATGCTAGGTGTAGCTAACTTTCGACAACGCCGTCGAAGCCTGATGCCGAAGCTGTAGAGACATTTTGTCCCAACGCTACACGTCGTGTCGCTCTGTAAGATCGTTGAAATGCAACAGTTCCATCACGGAATGCTTGGCAGTTTGGGCAGCCACGGTCGTGTCTAGTCTTCCCACCTGTCACTGTGTAGCATGAGAGGCTTGGCCCGATCATGCAATTCCATACCTTTCCAGAACATTCTGCAATTTCTGCGTTCGCAGGGTGGTTTTGTCACAAAGTCAAGACAGCAACCACCTTCCAACTGAAACCATTGTCTCCCCAGATCCCTTGAAAACCTGTACGAAAGGCTTGGAGCAAAGCGGATTTCTCTGCAAAGATGGTAGCGTCTCTGGAGCCGATGGTGCCAATCTCGCCCCCAGCAAGGGCGTGTGGACACTCACGCCTGTGGCTATCAGAGGCCGGTGCTCAACTGAGAATGATGCTGCCTCTGGCCACAGGCAGGGAGGAGTTCCGTGGTTTTGGCATGTTGAAACATTCGGGCTTTGTCCGTACGTTTGCATATACACACATATACAGAGGGAAACCAAAAATGCAGAATATGTACCTACATATACGTAATATATTTATCTAGTGTATATATATATATGTATGTATGTATGTAAGTATATACATATATATATATACATACGTATTTGTGTGTGCGCACACTTACACATGTAAACAGCTTCTGTGCCATTCTGTGCGTGTGTCTGTGTGTGTGTGTGTGTGTTTGTGTGCGTGCTATATGCGATGCAAATGGACTGTCAGTGTTGAGAATTTCGTTGGAACCAGTTGCAGCCTGGTTCAGAGCAGCTCGATTGCTTATGCTGACCCTTGAACCGGAAGCTTGTCAGTGCCTCCGTGGAATCCGATGTGTTGTGCAACGGCGGGGTTCAGCCTAATCCCTGTCAGCCTGTTCTGGAATGTCAGCTTCAGCACCGGTTCAACTTTTCAGCAGTTGCCCGATGTTGCAAGCCTTATCCGAAAAGACCACCGCATCAATGCCGCTGAGGATGACAGAGTGCAGTACGCCATCATACTGTTAGCAGCCTGCCAAACATCCGCAACGTCCGCCAGGCCAGATCATCAACTATGCCTTAACTTTCGTGACGCTGCAACATGGCGACTTATGGGACCTTTCTTTTTTGTTCGAGAAACCTCTAAAAGGTTTCAGAGATTTTCAGAGCTTGAACAGAAAATGAGGCACATTGTTGGAGGAGCCGGCACGACTGCAGATGCGTCCGTCGGCTTGGCTTTGGCATTGTACACTTGCCTCGGCCGCTTCACTGCGAGCTTGAAGTCGGTGATAAATTGAGCAACATTCCTTTGGGGCTGCCAACGAACAGGGCCTGTGGTGCTTAGTTCGGGACGTCCCGCAAGCAGGATTTCTAGAAAGCGCTTTGCGAGTCAATCCCTAAGCCTGAAGGTCGGAATCTCATCATGGGCCTTTGCGGTGCTGTTGACACCATTTCTTCACAGGCCGCGGGCGCAGGTCGTCTGGACCTGCTGGGCCCTATCTTCCGCAGATCCTCCTGCTTTTTGCTGCCTCCTGGTGTTGAGGTGGGTAGGTCCGTTGGATTGTTGTGGATAGGCTTTACATTCTTTTGAGATTCTTTCATGTGGCGAACTTAGGGCTTGCAGTAGTCCAGATTCGAGCTTCTTGAACCTCATAGCCCAGCCACCTTTGCTGACAGTGTTTGAGGCTGCACCTCGTGCCGTTCAGCTTGTTTTGCCTTTCTTGTCTTTTCTGGCTGCCATTGGTCACAGATCCTGACATCGGCCGCACCACGTCCCACTTCTTGCTGTTGGTCATCCCTGACCTTGCAGTGCAGTGCATCTGGCGTCCAATGAACCGAGTGCTGGCATCGCAGCAAATCACATGCCCATTCATGATCGTGCAACCGGGCTTGCAATGCACGGGTATACTACAGGTGTTGTAGTGTTAGAGCAGGAGCAGGTCCATTCCAATCTGGTCGGGACCCCACAACTGCTTCAGCGTTGTCCCTCCTGAGTCCAGTAGCTGAGGTCGCTTCTGGTGCTTTTCTGCCACTACGGCTTCTCGTCGATCCTGATCTCTCGCTTTGGCCCACTGGGAGCTGCACTCGCAACTTCATGCAGTGGTTTTATGACGCTGGTCTTTGGAGTAGCGGCTGTTTGGTTGGTGGGGGCAGGCCCGACCATTTGGGGAGGAAGCTGCACGCCAGAAGGCATGAAGCAAGCTGGAGCCAGCTGGGGTTCCATTGCTTCCTTGGCATATCCTTCTGCAGCCATGAGGATGCTTGAGTCGTCAGGTTTTTCTGGGATTGTCACAACCAGTGCGCTGCTGCCGTTGGCCAAAATCGAGGTGGACGTCATGAGCTTGTCGCTGAATATCTATGGATGTCTTTTCACATTGTTTCCGGCCATTTCGATCTGTGCCGACACACGTGTTGGCAATGCTGTTGGAAAAGGCACACCTTCAGCGGCAAAACTCGCTATGTACGTGGCCACTGCGTTGACGCTTCCTGCTGCCACCGCGGTCTCACTGGTTTCGTGGCCGACTGTCCGGATGCATTGAGGTTGGACTTCATGCCCATAAACAGATGCAGAAAGGCAAAGCCCAGGCTCGAGCATGTTGATGCTATGCAACCTACACCCAAGTGGCTACGTAAGTGGTGGACTTCGGTTTGGGACTTGTGGCATGCGAACACAGGCAAGTACAGTAGGCTCGGCCGCCTACAGTTGTTCCCGTAGGTTGGCAAGCATAGCCTGTGTCAGACGTCCGTCAGTTCGACGAGTCTTTGGAACCGCGTGGAATTGGGACATAATGCAGGCAGAGCCCCTGTAAGACAACTGCTTCGCGGTCTAGCAGCAATCGCCGTGCTGTTGGTAAGCATGGCTTGTAATTTCACTGTTGTTCTCGTAGTCCCTCATCGAAACCTTGCTGCTGGTATGTCCTGCTGATCAGCCCCTGCGAAGACAACCTGTAAGCACAGCCGCTTTCGATCTCAGATTCAACCAGAACCTCCGGGATTCGTGACACCACACTCAAGGTTTTCGTCATTCCTCAGTGCCGCACGCTGATCGACCAGATGGTTCGCGTCAACGCTCTGGATCCCAGGGTCGCTCAGGGCCTGAATCCTTCCTGCAATTCAAAACCAGGTTTCTTTGTCAGCCGCCGCCAGTCTCACTCGACCTTTTGTTTGCCAGTCTTGAGTCGCACGAACCCCAAAGCAGTCATGGCCCAAGAGCATGGAGTCAAGGAACACAGTGTACCTGATCTTCATTTGCTTCTGGGCCGGACTCAGCCGAACTCGACTTTCATTTTCAGTTTACGGCTACCTGTTAGCAGGGGTAGTTTCAATGAGCCTGTGAGACGGTCGCGACTGTGAGTAACAGTAAAAGTGTGGGGCTTCTTGCTTATGTCAGATTTGTGTTGGTCCTCCGATTGGGTTTGTCAGTTGCATGATCTGGTTGGTTTAATGCGTCAGGCGGATTCTATTACATTGATGGCCTCCAAACCGCACTTTCGGGCTCCATCCGTGGCACTGGACAACAACAGAAAGGTGCTCGAATCTGTGTCTTGGCCTATTGGATCCTGGGCATTCCAGCAGCACTGATCTTGGGATTTGCCTGCGGACTGAAGAGCACTGGCCTGTGGCTCGGAATGTTGGTCGGACCTACGGTGCAACTCATCTTCTACGCAAGGCATGAGGGATGCCAAGAAAGCCATATGGTGCCAGCTGGAACCATCGTACATCGTAGGGTTAATTCTAAAACGAAGAAGCAGGGGTCCTGCCTGCAGAGACGGCGGCCGCTTTTGCCACGCTTCGAACCACTCTTGTGCCTCCGGGATAAAACTGTTCAGCTTTGCTTTGGGAAACTTCGGAGGAGATGGCAGAATCAGACAGCGGTGCACTTCACAGATTGACACTGGTTAAGAACATCTCCTTCTCTAAACGTCAACATGAGCCCTCCTTTAAGGACGGCCCACCAGTCCCCTGCTCTCAAGGGTTTTGTCAAATGGTCCGCCATTTGGGCCGTTGTCGGGACCCAGGCGAGACGTCCCAGAGTCTTCAAATCACGGATGGCAGCTAGGTCTATTGCAAGCCGCTTACAGGAGGGTGGCCGAGGTATGCCATCCTTCGTTAGGTTATCGTACAGACTCTTACAGTCACTCAGAAACCGGATGTCGTAGCGCAAGGGGGTAGAAACTCCTCGCCAACTTGCCGTCAACGAGTGTCTGTAGAAAGCGGAGTATGTACTCCCCCGTCTCGATTGCGGTGGCGCATCCCATGGTCTCAGCGGCAAATGTAGACCTGCAGACTCGGTCACAAGCCGAGCTCTTCCAGTCCAAGAGGCTGACCTTGTGCTTTCCTCCTGAGAGGACCGCTTTGTCACATAGTAGGTAGAGCCCGCCCAACTGAGAGGCTATACAGGAGTTCGTTCTCTTGGCCTTTCGAAGATGGAAGTCGTAGGGCCCGTTCTCCATGATGCCGTCCGCATTCTCCTCGGGCGTCAACGCGTAGTAGGGATCGTCCTCGTCCTGGGGGCAATTTGCCCATCCAGCGTCGTGGTAACACAAAAGGACGGCCTGGTTGAGGTCGACCGGCCTGATCAAAACCCCCTCGTCAAGGTGTTCGTAGGCTCGCTTCGCATTGGCATTCGTGAAGCGGATGTCCCCTACGCAGGGGTTCTTTTGGCTTGCTGGCTCAAGGAGACGCCGACTTGAAGGTCCGGCCTGCTCTGACTGGCCAGCCAGCTCAAGGCACCCACCAGGGACATGTTGTCATGCTTCTGGGTCTCGCTCGCAGGTTCCCAGTCCTTTTGCCCTTTGTCGATTTCGACCTCAAAGAGTCTCGTCTTCACGTAGCTGGACTGAGAGACCTTGATCTCGTTGGCGCCGATATCGATAAAGGAGCCGACGTACTCGAAGCTGTTGGACTCCCAGTCCGGAATGGGAAACACGGAGCTGAGCTTCTTTTTGACCAAGGAGCACAGGGTGTCCATCCCGACGAGCAAAATATCGTCCACGTGTACCCCCAAGTAGGCGGCAGGCCGTTCGTAGATCGCCTCCCCGTGCTCGTCCTTCCCTCGGTACTCCTGCACCATGAAGATACAGTGATCCAGAGTGCATTGGCGGATGTGCCAGACCTTTCCATCCTCGTCGCAAATCTCGGTCTCGAGGAGCGTGGAACGTAGAGTGTCCCACCAGGAGGAAGGGGAATCGACAAGGCCGAAGATCGGCCTCTTTATCCGAAGAAGTTGTTCAGGATGAAGATTCCCTAAGCCAACCTTCGGCTGCCTCAAGTAGAGCTCGCGTTGTAGTTCCTGTCCACATAAGAAGGCCGAGCTCACATCGCCGGCGTGTCCTGTCCATCCCCCGGCTAGGTTGCTGGCCAAGAGCTGCAGCAACAGGAAGATTCCTTGCCTCGAAATTGTAGGAGCGTGGGTAGACAAGCCCAGTGACAAATCTGGATCCCGATGGCCGGCAATCACGAGTCTGGCCTTCGGCTTCCAAGGAAGTTCGCTGTTCTGTTTTCTCTTGCTCCAGTGTTTGTCACGGTAGGCGAACCTGCTTCCAAGGATCCTGTCACCCTTGGTGGCATTCACTTCCCGGCTAGCCGCTAGCCTCTACAGAAAGCGGCTCTAGGGCTGAGTGATCCCTGTGCTCCTCCCATTGCTTCTGCTCAGCAGCGCGAAAAGCCTCATGTTGAGAAGTGGGGATAAAAGCCCATGGCAGCTCCTTCTCGAGAGCTTTCTCTCTGCCCCGGGGAGTCTTGGGAAGCTTCAACATGTGTGCTTCGTGAAGAACGCCAGAACCGTGACCCCTTTGCAAGTCGCCCGCGTCTTCGTCATCGGAGACCAAGGGGGAGTCGGGGACCATTGGCATATCCTCGAGGCTCACATCCGGGGGCCCTTTCTTGCGCTTCCTCCTTCTGGTGGGTCCTTGGCCCGCCTCGTCGCCAGGGGGATCGGTCCCGTGTAGATCTAGGAAGGGCATGTCGATGTCCTCCTCCTCCGCAGTCTCAGCTCTGCCGCTGATAGCACCAGGAATGCGATGTCCTTCGTCAGCATGGCCATCGTCGTTCCCAACGTAGATCTCCTCTTCTGCGAAGTCTCTGTCCAGGAGGCGCTCCAAATCCTCCTTGGTAGAGCGGAGCGTAAATGCCCCGCCTATTTCTTCTCCTGTAGCCAAACGTAGATGTTCTTGAGCTACGAGATGACAACGTCCTGCGAAGGATGCCCAGAGGTTCGGACCTTCGCGTCCGATCACAGTAGCTGGACCAATCCACCTCCAGTCCTTGCAGTTCTTGGGCTTCCGATACATGTATACCCAGTCTCCAATTTGGACCTCCGGGCCTGCCACTCTCGTCCGTTGAAGAAGAGCTCGTCGCAACTTGTTGTCGTTCTGGATCTTGAAGAAGGCTTCTTTGGCTCCGAGGCGCAGAGCCATTTCGCGGGCGCGCTTGCGATCGCGAGTGATCACATGGTCGATCTGCTCCCCGTGGTCCGATCCCCACAAGTCTTCAGGTAACGCAGGATCTCGCCCCCAAACGGCCTGAGCGGGACTATATCCGGAGTCTCGCTTGAGGGTGTTCACTGCCGTGTTGATGGCAGTAACTGCCATCTGGATGTCGTTTCTCCCCACAGAGTGCTCATCGACGAGTTTTCTCCAAATCGCCTTCCAGGACTGAATTGCACGCTCCACTGCTCCTTGCTGAAAATGTGCCTGTCCCGCCGCGGGACGAAGCTTTGTCCCGTGCCACTCGGAAAACCTGCCGAGACCGGCTTGCAAACCCGATTCCAGATCCGGCAAGCGTACCCGGAGCCCCGAAAGTGTTTGACCAAATAGTGCAGAAGTCACGCTCCATGGACTGGGTCGAATGCCCTGTGAGGGGCCCAACCAATGAAAACCCGGTGCCGAGATCGGTCACCATCATGAACTCACACCGGCGCCTGGCAAAGTCGTAGGTAGAGAAGGCATCGACGGCGACAATCTGGTTGAAGTCGAGGAAGTTGGGGAGAGAGGCCGGCCTAGCCGAACTCGCCCTCTTGCTTCTCGCACACACTTGGCACTGTAGACGTTTTGTGGCTTCCACGACCTCGCTTCCAGCGCCAGCAACTCTCAGATGGCGCGCCAAGTCCTCGTTAGAGGGGTGTCCCAAATTCTGGTGGAGGCGCTTGAGGGCAGACTGGACTTCCTTCTTGATGGGAGTCCCTTTCGAGAAAGAGATTGCTTGAGCTCCTCCGCCGCCTCGGTCCGGTACCGGTTCCTCACCACGACCTGGCCTAGAATCGACAACGTAGGCTTGTTGCTCTTCATCAGTCTGGCCTTCGCGTTGTAGTAGATAACGTCGAAATTGGTCGCAGGGTTCGTCGCGGGCCCCCACATCCTCAAACTCGCTCGGATTGAGATGAAGAAGCCATGTGTCCGGGGGTCCGCGTTCCCATCGGTAGTCGTACAGGTCGAGGAAAACCCCAATGGAGTCGGAAGACCAGCATTCATCTCCAAGTCCTCCTTCAAGCACCGCACCCCGCCCAGTGGCGAGTTGTCTCTGAACGACACTCAGGACCCGTTCAAGGCCACCCCTCAGCTCAACAAGGTGAATCCAGAGTCGAGAGGGCTGGAGCTCGTCGATCACGGCGGTCGCTGTGGATAATCCTTGAACTCCAAGAAAGTCTTCAGCTTCCAGGGGCTCCGCGGTCAAGTAGCCGTAGTCGTGGGCCTCGAAAGTTTTGTTCGTTCCCCCGATCTCGAGAAGAGTGACTCCTTCCGAATCATGTCCCGGAGGGAATGTAGGGGAGACGAAAGTGGACGTCACCATGGCACACCAGGCAGTCAGTGTCACCAGCCGCTGTGCATTCTTCCACAAAGACTTCCTCGTACTCTTGATGGGCCTGGTGGTCCTCGCGTAGATCTCGTCCTTCTGCTTGAGAACATGTGAGAGACCTCGGAGAGGAAAACGGAGCTCTCTTAGGCCATCGCGCAATCGAGCATCGGTGTCGGGGAAGGCTCTCCCGGTGAAGCACGACACGCACCATCGCTCACCAGTCCACGGCTCTGTAGAGTGTCTCCTTTTCGGATCGAGGACGTACGGGTGGTTCTTGGTAGACACGAGGTAGCCCGGAAGAGGATCGCCATCAGGACCGGGGCGCCATTCAACTGGGAGATGTAGGGGGTCGTCGCTGCAGTCCCTTTCAACCCAGACGCCGCCTTCGGAGAACTCTCCCAGGGTCACCGTGAAAACGGAGGTTCCGAGGAGGTTGTGGGCGTCGCGGTGGATTGTAGTAGCGATGTCCTTTGTGACGATGAACGACGACCATCCGAGGTCTCTCCCCTTTGTCTCTCTCTTCATGACCTCGTTGACGTAGGAGACGAACTTCGGGAATCGTACTGAGTCGCGGGACACCCCGTGTAGGCCTCCGTGGTTCCACATCCCACCGAGAAAACTTTGAGACTCTGGTCCCGCCTCGCCGTTGATGCTGCGATGCTTCTTCGAGGTCTTGGGAGGTATCAGAGGTAGTAGATCACGTAGGACCTCCAAAGAAAACCGCTTTTCTTTGAGAGCAGCAGCAGCAGCTTCCTCGAGCTGTCGTCCTGAGCCGTCAACTGGAACCCGACTGCCTCCGGACTCATCTTGTAGGTAGACCTCCTCGACGACTTGGTCGAATGCGATGTGAGAGCAAGGATCACCAACGTAAAGACAGCTGTCTCGGAGACTAGGGAGCCCACTGCCAGACCATCCGGTAGCACTACAGCTACTAGAAGCTTGAAGGTCACGGCCAGGTAGTCCTTCAGGATTGCGATGACATTCTGGAGCTAAGGGATCACGACCAGGTAGTCCATCAGGATTGCGATGACATTCTGGAGCTAAGAGATCACGACCAGGTAGTCCATCGGGATTGCGAGGACATTCTGGAGCTAAGGGCTCGTGACCAGGTAGTCCCACGGGATTGCGATGACATTCAGAAGTTGAAGCTTCATTCCTCGTGCGATCGAGCCAAAGCTGAGGATCGCGATCATTGGGCTGAACAGAAAACGAATTAGGGTTGCATTCGCCAAAATGGCCTTCAGGCTGATCTCCGTCGGCCTGGGTCAAAACTTTGCTGCTCCCACAGTGCTGGTCCCTGCCAGCCTCATAGTTCCCGCCACCGTGCTTGCCGAGGTTCGCATTGGGAGCGAAGTCATCACAGTCATAGAAGACCTCGGCATTGATGTAGGCGGCGGCCTCGAACTCGCAGTTCAGGGCAGGTTCCCGGACGGCGGGATCCCGTGGCGGTCCTGGAGGACTGCCAGTCTCGTCTGGAGGTACTGGACCTCGTCCATGACTTCCGGGTCCACTTCCTGCTCCATGCGGCTCGTCGAAGATGGTGCCACTGAAGATGGTCCCCGCCTCTGCGCGGGCACTCTGGTTGTCTCCGCCTCCGCTGGGACCTTGGTGGGCCTGGCCTTCGCCTTGGACTTGATCCTGTATAGTCGTTCGTCTCGCCCGTCGGCACCAGGTCCCAGGAACTCCCTCCGAAGGATTCCGGGTGGTAGGGTACCTTCGCGTTTTTTCGGAGTCCGGAAAGGGAGTCGGAGTCGACTGAGCCATGTAGCCGTCCGTCACCTCGAGGGTCTTGGCCGCCCACATCTGACCACGAAACCTTCCGAAGGAGAGGACGGTCTGAGGGCCCAGACCTCCTTGGTCGCGGAGGAGCCTCATGAGAACTCCCTTGTTGGCCTTCTCCGGCACCGCCATACCCGAAGCTTCCAGGGCATTCTCCAAGTCCTTCACAGTCATCTTGGTCAGGGGGGTCGCCTCGAACGGGGTTCCGGATGATGCCGCCGAGCTCTTCTTCATGTCCTCCTGAATGATGCTCCTCAGTTCGGGCACCGTCCACTTCGGGTGAGTCATCAGCCCGCGTGCGTTCGCCTCCGCGATCAACTCCTCGCGGCGTAGTTCCCATAGCCCTTTCTTCTTGGTCACCACGGGAGCCGTCAGAAGCTGGGCACTGGAGGCCATGAGGTTGGAGCGAAGCCGCACACGGGAGGGGCCTGCAGGCTCTACTGAAAGAAGTTCTGCCGATCCACAAAAGCGGGAATGACGATTTGCTTCCGAGCTCTCTCCACTGATCATGTACTTCAGGAAACGCACGCTGAGTACTGCAAGCATACCCCTGAGACGACCTCACCGAACCCAGAGCCTCGAGAAGAGCAGACTTCTGATCGCCCTTTGAAGTGGCCCAACCGCGGGGATCAAAGAAGGTTCGCCTAGGGACAACATGAATACGGTGCAGCTGAAACTCATCCTCTATCCAGAAGTCGTTGGAGATCGATGTTTGGGACCACCACGCCATGAAACTTGTTGGATTCATCTTATCTGAAGTAAGAAGGTTGGAGGCTTCAATGCTGATCTTCTTCGGATAGAACACCTTGGGGCTTGTAGTTACCTGAGGACTTTCAGCACTGTTGACCGACAGACCAGGGAGAAGAGGAGGGGCTTCGACACGACATGCGCTCTCATCATCATCTGAAGACTCACAGCTATGCACTGTCATGAACGCCGTGTATTGCTGGGACTTCGGAACAATCAGCAGCTCGCGGTCCTGCCAATCGCAGCTCTTGATGGCCGCGGCGCTAACAGTCAACGGCTGTACGGGGAGGGCCGGATGGCCCGTATCCGTCGACAAAAGACTGAGATCCTGGACACCGAGGTTGCGAAAAGAAGCTTTGTTGGCCGCTACATCCATGATCATCCCAAGCTGCCCCAGGGCTGGCCTCGAAATCAAGAGGGGGACGTCCCCGTTCACCACTGCCACACGAAGCAAGATAGAGTGGCCTCCCACTCCAAAGCTCAACACGACAGCGTAGGAGGAATCAAAGATGCGGCTTGCCCCAAACTTAAAAGCATCCTTGCACATCACCGTCTCAGGCACAAAACCGATCTTCCGGGCTTCGACCATGTACTTCTCGATCCATGGCACCCCCGCCACGCTCCTCGAGCAGGCCGTGTCGGTGATCGCGGTCAGATTGGCGGTGGCAACCTTCTGGTCCAGATCCCAGGTCACATAGACATAGTGGCAAGCATAGCTGGTCTTTGGCACGTCGTCCTTGTTGGCATTCGGAGGTGACGACTTCGGACCCTTAGAGATAGCGCCGTTCCCGCCTCCCTGATTCAAAGGGCATTCAGGGTCCTTGTGCCAATGCCCCCTCCTTCGGCACCCTGAGCAGAACGACTTGTTCTTTGCCTGCTGGAGGCGATCGGCAGCGAGTTGGCGCATGCCCTCCGGGTCCGCTCCTCGAAGTTTGCTAAGCTCCTTGTATTTCTGTTTGGCGGATTCGTGAGTCATAAAGGCCTCGAAGAGTTCTTCAGCCACATGCTCTGGTACACACTCGGACTGGTCGTCCGCCGGGAAGAGGTCGCCGGGCTCGTCCTCGTCAGGATGGCCATCATCAGCCATATTCGCCTGCTGAGGGCGGCGAGAGCTCCACCATTTGCTTCCACGATCCTGGCGTTGAGAGCTGTTGTTCGGCTCCCAAGGCTTGCACAAGCTCCTGTCCTGCACTATTGCCGCCTGCTGCAGGCGCTTCAGAGAGTACTCGTTCTGGACGGACGCCAGGAGGTTCAGCTCTTGCTCCTCGGACAGGGCCATCCTGTCCACAAACACCCAAGCAGCAGCAATATCAGGTAAGTGGCACCCGCATTCTTGCAACCTCGCCAACGCTCGATCGTAGTCGCTCATGTAGTCACGGACAGACTGGCCTTGTTGTCGGCGGAGTCGGCGGAAGAAGTCGCCGAGGGATCTGCCGATCTGCGTCACCTGAACATCCAAGTATCTGTCCGTAACCCAACTCAGGTAGTACTCCATTCCATCTTCGCCGGCGAGCTTGTCAACATCGAGACGCTCCGCATCAATCCAAGCCTTGCCCGACAAGTGTTGATAAAGAGTCAAGGCTTGCCTCGAAGAGTCGATCCTCGTCATGCGGCGCCAAGCCGCAATCTGCCTCAAGTAGGACCTCGCACTGGCCCCGATGTCCTCGGTCCCCGCTTCCAGGGTCCCGGCGAAGGAAGGGACCACCATCTTCTCGGACGGCCCCCTGGCACTCTCTCCGGTCTTGGGAGCAGAGGTCAGGTCGCAGCCAAGTTTCTGAGGCTGCCATCCGCCAGGCATAGCAGCACCACCACGCGTCCTCCAGGCCTCGGCGCCTTGTTCTTGATGATCGTAGTCTCGCGAGGGGCTCTCATGTACAGAGCCGGTCCCGGTCGAGGTGGACCCCCAGGTCCCCCCGTAGCTCTGGCGCCGATCATGCCAGACACGCTCGTGGTTCTGCCACCGAGTGTCCCAAGGTTCACCTCGAGAATCCCAGTGGGCGTAGCTTCCCCACTCAGAGTGTCCCCACCAGGCGGCAGCCTGGTCTCCACTCCGTTCCTTGGACCAAGGATCGTCCCTGGTCCAGTCGTCGTCTCTTTCGCCTGCCCCATGAACATCATGAGAGACAGGGCCATCTCCTGCGTCGCCGCGATCAGCAGCTACGCCATCACTATGTTGCTGCGGTGAATCGTCACTAGGTCCGGGAGGAACATCGCCCGAAGAAACCCAAGTAGAACCGTAGAAGGAAGTTCGGACATCCGACATTGCGCACTAGCGAGAGGACTACTGGAGCATAAGGCTCCGCTACCAATCTAAAACGAAGAAGCAGGGGTCCTGCCTGCAGAGACGGCGGCCGCTTTTGCCACGCTTCGAACCACTCTTGTGCCTCCGGGATAAAACTGTTCAGCTTTGCTTTGGGAAACTTCGGAGGAGATGGCAGAATCAGACAGCGGTGCACTTCACAGATTGACATTAATGACGGCTACTAAGTAAGGCTAAGGCAACATGTCATCAGTTGCAGGCAGTAGTTGAGAACGTGATCACGAGCAGGGCAACTCAGCTGCTCGCCACTTTGCAGGCTTTTGCTGAAGATGAACTGGGATGAAGTTGCAGGCAGTTGTCAGCAGCGCCTGCGGCGAGACGAGAGCAGGGATGAGTTTATTGGAGCCTGATCTTGCCCGTCGCAGAGAGCACAACACTTCCCGCAGCAGCCTCAACGGCCTGGTGGAACTTGTGATGTAACTCATCGGAGGGACGTAGCAACTTGACCCACTAAAGTGGATGTCAGGAAGCTTGTTCTCGCAGAAGCCACTTTTGCTTGTCGCTCCGCTAACCCTTCGAAAAAAAGCTTGTTTGCACGTACACTGCCAGTTCATGCAGCACGATGAACACCACCGTGTTGCTGAACGGAGAGGCAACCGGAGGCTCTTTCGCTTCAACAGGAGCAGAGATGTGTGTGTGTGTGTACTGTCAGGCCGCGGCTAGCTTAACAGCTTTCGACAGCAGTCTTGATTCTTGCTTCCAAAGGGTTTGCAAACAGTCGCAACCCCAGGTTGCAGGTCTTATTCCCTGGCTTTGTAGCCAGCCTCCGTTGTTTGGGAATTGCCATGCCACGGGAAACTCGAAGGATAGGAAACTCTAAGGGTATGAGCAGTTCAAACATGTGCTACAGGTAACCGGGGACAGAGACCAGGAATTTAAGGCTCAAGTTGTCACCATGTCGAGTGGATCTTGTTCCGTTTTTCCAAAAGCTCTTGAGTTGGCTGTTGGAAGACCGTCCAGTTTATCGTGGTAGCAAGAGAAGACCAGAGGCATTGGTGTGGTTTCCGGTGCTAGGTCCTCAAACCTGTGCTCCGAGCAATAGTTCGTCCTCGAGTGTTCTAGACATTAAGTGCAATCCGGCTGCTCCTAAGCCGTAGCCAGAGAACAAACCCGCTGCGTGCTATCGCCCAGAACAGCCGCCACTTGCCGGCCTCCGAGCAAGAAAAAAGCGCCAGGCAAGCGCCAGGAAACTTCAGAGACCTACTGCAGCGATGCTGAAGCAGATGCTTTACAACTCTAGGATTTCATCTGCTTCAGCATGCAAAGAGTTGAAGGGACCATGCGCCGAAGTCCCCGCACTGCAGCCATTTTGGCTCACAGTCAGATATCCCTCGGTTGGCCATTCTAGACATGGCCTCAGACAGATCAGTCTTAGTATTGCCAGCACACTCGGTGAGAGCAGACGAGTCTGATCTTGATCTCGCCAAGAACCACGAGCACAAAGGATGTGTCCTCACGGGCTTCACTCAAAGCACAGATGAAGGTGCCCGATTGTTGGAGTGGGCACAAGAGCTTTGTAGCAACGGCGCAAATCTCAGTGGTGAACTTCGCTTTTACGAGGGGCGCGATGCTAAAGAAGGGGAGCCCTTCCTCCGGCAACTGGAGAGGCAGTTGTATGACAACCTGTCATGGGCCAGCAATCGCATGCTTGAGGATGCAAGCATTGATGCAGCCAAGGCTGAAGCCATAGCGGACAAGGACATGCTAGGACTTCTCGCCCGGCAAGTCGAAGGCATGATGCATATGTTTCAGCGTGCTTCTGGCACTTGGTTCGAGGAAGATTTCTGGTGCGTGAAGCTAGAAATCAATGTCAGCGATGATATCGAGTTTTGCCACCACGGCATGAGTTTGCGCTTGATTTCGACATTGGTCGGCGATGGTCTTGTCCTTGCCCAGAATGATGCTGTGGATTGGGTGGTGTACGAAGGATCGCAAAAGAACTTGCATGGGAAAGCGTGGAACCACCATGTGTCCTCCGCGGAGCATGCAACCAGCATTGGTGATCTGGTCCTGGCAAAAGGGAAGACGAGCCGAGATGTAATGCCATGTGTGTACAGATCGCCCGACTCTGCCCTGAACGTTACTGAAAGATTCGTGCTGACACTTGACCGCATCTCGGCAGCCAAGAGAGGCAGACTCGTGGGCTTCAAAGATGCTGACAAGCTGCCTGTAACTCTGCTGAGCGGATTTCTGGGTGCAGGAAAGACGACCCTGCTGACGCATCTTTTGAACAATCGGGAAGGAATCCGTGTAGCAGTGCTGGTCAACGACATGGCGTCCATAAATGTTGATGGACAGCTCCTTAAGGATGGGGTAGACTTGTCGGAAAGCACTGACAAGATTGTCGAACTTCAGAATGGCTGCATCTGTTGCACTCTCAGGGAGGATCTCATGTCGACGGTGGGCGAGTTGGCTCTCGAGCGCCGCTTTGATTACCTCCTGATCGAAAGCACGGGAATCAGTGAACCCATGCCGGTGGCAAGTACTTTTACAGCTACTGACGACATGGGGCAATCATTGCTGGGCAGCCTATCGAAGTTGGACACATTGGTGACAGTTGTGGACTGCCCTTGTTTCCTGAAGGATTACCAGGGTGACCAGCTGTTGGTGGACAAGCAAGAGCTCGGTGCAGAAAAGCATGACGAGCGAAGCATCGTAAATCTCTTGACGGATCAAGTTGAGTTTGCCAATGTCCTGGTGCTCAACAAAACCGATCTCGTCTCTTCGAAGGAGTTGGACCTTCTGAAGGGCATCCTCGCGAAGCTTAACCCTAACGCACAAGTGATCGAAACGCAGTTCGGTGTAGTAAGTCCATCATCCGTGCTGAACACCCGGAGCTTCGATCAGCACTCCATTGGGACGATTGCCCTTTTCCAGGCCCACGGGCTTCTGGCAGCCAAGGAGAAAGTGTCAGGCTCGGCGCTTCCAGGTTGGATTCAAGAACTGGAAGGTGTCGACCGCAAGCCGGAGACTGAAGAGTATGGCATTTCCAGTTTCGTCTATTCCGCGAGCCGCCCATTCCTTCAAGATCGACTAGACAGCATGGTTGAGCATGGCTTTCAGAGTTTGGGCGTGCTTCGCTCAAAGGGCTTAGTCTGGTCTGCCAGCAATCATGACATGGCTCTGGAGTGGAGCCAGGCAGGTTCTTCCATGGCTTTGAAGCCTGGCCGCCGCTGGCACGATGGAGAGAGGAGGCAGGAAGTTGTTTTCATCGGTCGGAACATGAACGAGCGCCAGATTCGCATGGTGCTGGATGAGGCATTGGCGTCCCCGGAGTTTGCCGGGGTGCCAAGGCCAACTCGCTTCCAGGAAGCAGGCGAGGCTGAGTTCATGGGTGGTGCAAGAAAAGCAGCTCGGGTGCACTAAGACTGTGTCGAGGAATGGGACGTCATGTGAAATATATAGTTTCATCAAGTCAGAGCCCGTGTTGAACAAATGAAAAGGTCGATTCACTACGTACTCGTATGATATGCTCTTCAGAAATACCTGTTGTTGTTTCATAAAAGACAACTAGCACGCGCTTTTGATGCTTAGACGGTCATTGTACAGATTGGGCCGTTTTGCCGCAAGCCCACACGCACTCACTTTTGAGTATGAGCAGTGCCTTGCGCAGTTTTGGACCTGATGGGTCGGTGGAGGGCCTGGCTGCTTTGCAGAAAGGGCCATGCATGAGGGGTGAATTTTCGCAAGACCATGGACGAGGATTGCTTATGGTAAGGCGAGACTCGTTGGACCAGCGGGCAAGTTGCGATGGCGGGTTCCGACAGTGACAGAATGTGGCAGCGAGGAGGACAAATGCTGTTCGAAGCGGCATGTAAGAACGAACGTTTGCATTAAGCAGTAGCTTTTTGCAGGAGCATGTACACAAAGAGACATACAGGGAGATATAATAGGAGACCAAATTGCAGGTAACGATTCTTGGTAATCGA